GATGGATCAGGTTATTTAATACATCAATAAAAGGCAACTTTAGACATATTAACGGGGAATGTGCCAGGAACATCAATCATACCTTGGTCTTAAAGATATCAGTTGTTTCAAAGCAAATGGCTATGCTGTGGTTTTATTTAATTATAACCTAGGTTTAAATTTTGCTTCCCTTTGTTTGGGGGTACGGTAATATGAATTTTATGATTATGAGTTCAAAACAAAGAGAATAAAATTCAAACTTAGGATAAAAGTGAACCACAACTGAGCTGCAATATTAAGTGTTGCAAGTATACGTGGGGGAAGTACTTTGAAGTCTTTGGTTGGAAGGTACTTTCTAAAGGCTAGCTGTTAAAATATGCATGGTAAGTATACTTCCTCTGTTTAGCCCTCTGGATGCTTTTTTTTTTCTAGGGGCACTCCTTTCATGTTTTTGCAGAGGGGAGCTCTGCTTCTCTTTAATGGACATTATTTTTACTGTGGAGAAAAATATTTCAAGCTCAGTGTAAAACTGAATGTGTCAGTGACTTAAACCAGTTAATATTGTCAAGCTGCTTTATTAGCTTGATTCAGTAATATTGCAGTGCACCTACCATCAAGCATCACATCATCAATGTTGCAGAGGCTGGCAGCTTATTAGAAGGTGGTTGATAAGCCTTCAAGCAAGCTGTCTGTAGTTTTGGAAATAAAGAGTCTAAGGTCTCACACAAGTGATGGGAGGCAAAAGATTGGAGTGCCGATATGTTTTTCAGTAAACACGCGCAACTGTATGTGTATAGTTTCCACATTACGCTTACTCAGTGCATGTAAAATAACACAATAGATCTTGCTACCCATTTTCCCTGATTTTATTTCCCCTCCAGGGGACATAATTTCTTTTAACATATCGGGGTTTTCAAAAAAGGGGCAAGAAGCTTTTAAATGAATTTTAATTCATTTAATGAAGCACAGTATCAAAGAAATTAAAGAGAAGAATCAGACTAGAGTAACAGTAACCCAGAGGGGAGGGGGGGGGGAGTACTCACCAAAGAGGCTCTGCCCCAGGGACCAACCCTTTACCCTTTGTATGTACCATTTTAGACAGAAAAGGTACCCCTTTTGTATACCCTCTAGTGACAAATGGTACCCCTTTGACATACCTAATTTTGAACGCTGCATCCCTTTTTAACTGCTGTAAATACACCATCTTTACAAAAACAGGTTTTCTTGTCTCTCACATCCATAAAATGCATCTGTGACTGATCTCATTTTGGTCCCTTTCATATACTTCAACTACAAAAACCCCTTCCCTTTCATGTACCTGAAGCCTGAAAAAGGCTTCAGGCTCTGTTTAGGTCATTATAGTACCCCCTCCTCCTGCACCGAGAACAGTACTTGATACAGCGATATTGTATGGTATGAATTGCACCAAACGTTTCGTGCCCATGAAGAGGTACTTTGATTATTTTACGACATTTTTCTTCAAAAGGGAGGGGTTTGGGATCTCATTCTTAGGGGGACGGGGGGTTAATTGAGGATCTGCAGTGAGTGAGAATGTTGCATTCAATGCCATCCAATTGTTTTGATTCAGGAAAGGGTCGTAAGGGGTATTTCGCAGAAAGACAAATGGCCACTGTACAACGTTGAAGCAGTTACTGATTAGGGTGAGGAAAATGAGTGAATTAGGTTCCATTAGGGTCATTATACTGGTCTATACTGGGCAAACTGACCTGAAACAAATTGTTTCACAAAATAATAAAATGATATTATTTTATTTTCATGGATCAATGAAACACTTCAATATCATGAATGCTTGAAGTGTAGTAGATCTAATAATATTAAAAGCAGAACCAGATTGTTAAAGTAGTCTTACTAATTATGTGATGACGTGGTCAATAACATTTTTCAAAGCAGTCATCTCTATCAAAGGAAATAGAAGAAGTTTGCACACAAGCTACTTGACTACTTCGATGTATGTTATCTATCATGGAAAAGTAGTTAATTGCTTTGTGGGCTAGACTCAGTATAGATTCGCTTGAGTTCCAAATATGGCTGTACATGTGCTTTGAGAGTTTTTGTCCCGATTGGCTTCTTTCAACTGCTGTTGGAGCACATTTTGTTTCCTACGGATAATTGTTTAGTAAAACGCAAAAAGGTGAAAAACGTCATGAAGTTATTACCTCCGTATTATTTCAAGCACCTCATGAGCATATAGTTCAAGTAAAGTAACGCCGTTATCGGTTAAGTTTGTTTCGACGGTTCTCTATCATCGATCATCGGCCATATTGGATTTTTATGGAGGTTTCCGCTGACAACTCGTTCCCAGACTTCCGTTCCCCGTTCCCCGCTCCCCGCTCCCCGTTCCCCGTTTTAGTAACATCCGAGCGGAGATGATTCTAGAAAGTTAGGCGGAAGTTTACTCTAATAAATTCACGAGTGGAAATAGCCCATTGCAGTACAGTGCCCAACAATAAAAAAAATCAGCATATGATACCTTTCCCTTACAACCAGAAACTCGTCACGTGCTAGGCAGACACTCTCGTGTCAATGTAACTGGATTATTACGCCAACTTCAGGTTAAAATAGAATATATTGATCTCTTCAAAATAATACTAAAAACATGGAGACGTCTTTAAAAACTGGCTTTGCCCAAATTTTCTCGTGCTGTCCAAAAAATCTGAGTTGCCCAAACTTTGGGCTCGCCCCCCCGGCCCGTACGCCTATGCAGCTCGAAAAACGAGCATATTATGCTCCTGGCAGTGTTCAAAGTTCTTGGAAATTATGCCGGAATTGTGCTTTTTTCTCTGAATTATGCTCCTCTCATTTAAATTATGCCGCTTGGCCTTAAGCGAAATAAAGGCTGAACACCAGGTAAACACAAGTCTTCGGAGAGGAGGGCGCCATCTTTCATCTTACATTACAGGCAGCTCGCTACTGAGTCGTACGAATAGGGCCTGAAACTAAGAAACATGACAGCGACCAAACAAACAAACAAACAAACATCGTTTATTCCACTCTTTGCAGTAAAGACTAAATTGTCAAGTGATAAAACTAACAATAATAATACTATGATATATACAAGATGTAATGAAACTAATCTAAAAATTTAAAAGTAATAAAATCATTTGCTCTTTTCGTTCTAATGTAAGGGTGTAGACGTTTCTTGGCCAGATCTAATATTATATGGTACACTAACAACTTCATGACGAGTGCGCAGCGTCTATGCAGAGATAAACTTGCGACTTATAACAAGTCGTCTCACCTCAAGAAACTTTCTAGAAACACAATTCAGTAAGTAGAAGTATATTCAGTACAAAATTACGACAATTTTTCACAACGTGGAATGAAAACAACAGATTATGCTATCAGTGCTTTTTCTTTAAAAAAAAGTTAAAAATTATGCTCGTTTTCCCAGATTATGCTAAAAATTATGCTAGCACAGTCGATCACAAAAGCCTATCAGTGTAAGAACCCGTGAAAACTCACGAGTGATGTGAAACAAAGGAAACAATGAAGTCAACATAATAAAATCTAGAAAAACAAAAGGTGTGAAACAAAGAAAAAGGTTACAGGTTCTTTCACCGAGGAAAACCCTTTTGAAATGCAATTTTACTTCAAACATAATACAGTGGGACCCCGCCCTACGGCCACCCCGTTGATTACGGCCATTTTTTTTGGCTGCCTAGCAAAAACCGCTTACATTTTCTTGTAAAAAACCCTCGTTAATACGACTAATTTTTTTTGGCTGAATGGTGACCGTATTAACGGGGTTTCACTTTGGCACGGTTTCATTCACTTTTAAAACGTTTTTGAAGATCATGGGGATAGCTTTAGCCGATCGCAAGAAAGAGGGATTTGATTATCATGTACCCTCCTATAAAGCAAAAAAATCCGTAACCTACGGGTGCCACATTGAGGTGCTCTTGTTGGCTTTATTGTAAATATTTTGGTCTACTTCAACAAATGAGCGAAGAATTTTGACACCGCTAGATACTTTTTTAAATAGATTCTCTAGATAAAACGTCGTTCTCAAAGACCTTTGACGACTGTGAGTTCCATATAAGGTTATCATTAATTAATAACTTGTAAGGTAATAAAATAAGGGCTAAAATTCACTTAAAGCACGATTCGAAACGCACGAAGAAAAAGAGAGACCGCTCACAGTCTACAATGCGCTAATTTTGTTCGGGAATTGATTATTACAGTGGAACTCCGCATTTCGGCCACCTCGCCGTAATACGGCCTCCTCGTCTTTACGGCCACTTTTTTTGGCTGCCTGACAAAAACCGCCATACATTTTCTTGTGAAAAAAACCCTCGTTAATTCGGCCAATTTTTTTTGGCCCAATGCTGACCGTTTTAATGGGGTTCCACTGCAACATCTAAAAAACATCTGTGATAAGCCGTGTTGTAGAGTGTTGTTTGTCATCAAGCGAATCGACGTTCGTACAAAACGAACACAATTCAAGTGAGAACCTCTCATCATTATTTACGGCTATTTTTTAAAATTTTTTAATATTAAAATATTACAGTTAAAATGTCAACCTGCAAAGAATTGTTTTACAGTATATGCTGATTACAGTTTCATACCCTGTCACACGTAAATTGACTCCATCTATTGTGGCCCACCAAAACTTCTGGCATGTAATATATGTTGCATCTTAGGGGCCGACCATTTGACTATTGAGGGGGGGATGGGTGATTTCAGAAAAAAAAATATCCTGCAGCCTGATTTCGAGGAAAATATTATTGCAAGGAAACACCTGGCGAAAAAAATTACTACACTGTAAAAAAAATCTTTCATGGCGTTTAAAGCTGGAAAAAGAGCCTTTCACCATTGTTTTTCAGGAAAAATTCTATCACCAGAGGATTGGGGAAAAATGGGAAGGACTGGGTGCTAGTTTTCCTTTTGTCGTCAAGGCGACAAGTTGTCGAGATGTCCGCCGCCATATTTGAAGAAGTCTGCAACAACTGAAGAATCTTTGAAGAATCATCGAATGAATTTATTTGTTTAAAGACCAAAAAATGCCTGAGGACTTATCAAATTCATATAAAATACGTCCTAACTTCAAGCATAAGTAAGTAAAAAGCTTTTGGCCTGTTTAAACCAAACAGAACAGTTGAAAAACGTAGAGTTGTGCTGATTACGTTGGGCTTTTAATATGTGATGTAACTGTAAGCTTGTACTGTGTTCATAGATTTCGCCCTGCTGCTGTTAAAGCAATAATTCATGATGTTTTGAATGAGGAATTGTCTGGAAAGCAGTATAACTCAGAGGAGGCAACTTCATGGAGTCAACATATTTCAGATACAGTGAAGGATAAGCTGAAAGGTAAGCTTTAATATTGAGCATTTTGAAGGCTCTAAATTCGAGATTGCTTCTGTTGGGTCGGACATCGAACTTAAGGGGTTTCAATAACCGTAACTTGAATCAGACCAAAAAGTAGATTTAAGAAATTTTCTCCTGAACAAAGCTTAATATACATTGTGATTCAAATTTTTAATTCCTTAGTTCGTCACTTTTGAAGATCAACGTTTGTCCCAGAGATGATGCAACCTTTAAAAACTATAAACCGTTTGAACTTACCTGACCTCTCAGGGAATTCAGTTCTTAACTTGGGGGGAGGGAGGGAGCTGGTCGATTTGAAGAGGGTACATGCCAAAAAATATGGCTTCAAAGGGGGGGTCACCAAAAGAATTCTTTCAAGTTTTGCAGTGACGGCATCTGTGGGGTCTGGGGCTGCACTTTTAAAAGTAAATATTTAAGTAGAATTGATAAGCTCTTTGCTAGGTGTTATAAGTTAGGTTACTGCTAAAGCAGTACAGTATCTTGGACATTCGCCGTAACAGAGATATGAAGTTATGGCGAAGGATCTCTTCCACTGCGTTGAGCGATCTTTTACCTCCCCAGCGTTTTTGCTATTCTCGTTGCCGTTGCCGTCATTTTTGCTTTAGCGTTTCTGATGTTCAGCCTAAAGTTCACATTTTCCCCGGGAAGCATGCCCCCAGACCCCTACTTTATTATGTAAAAAAAAGCAATTGTACCCCACCAGAATACCAAAAAAAATTGAACATATCGTTGCGAAAAAAAATTATAAATTATATTCACTTCCACAATAAAAAAATGGAATGTCTCTTGCCATTGACAGCACTTAAGCTATCACCACTTAACTACTTAGGCAGTTTTATTTTGTTACTTCAAGTAATGTTTGCTTAGTGTTTATAGTGTTCCCATAAATGTTTGAGTACAGTGTAGTGCATTTTTAATGTTTACCTTTTATCGGCAGAAATATTTTTTTGCCTATGGCCGACCACCAAACATTTTCCAATTTCATCTCATGAGTTGTAAATTTTAAATTGTAAATATCTTATTATCCACTCCCCTCAGGGCTTTTCAGGGATAATTTACAACACTGGTTGGGGGACTTTGCCAGACTGCTTAAGGTGCAGTTTACAAGTAGTGAAGGAATGAGTAATGATGCCCCCATACATGAGTGTGAAAGTGAGATAGGCCACTACACCGGGCACTACGTGCCCTACTCTTTACGAAGAGTGTGTGGGTTCTTTAACGTCCCACAGATTTAATACATGTGCAAGGGCTTGTGAGACGGGGCCTACGGTTTATCGTCCTTATCCGAGAAGACTAGAAAGTCTAGCCGTTTGCAGATATTATTACAAAGGCAGCACTTTCTCCTCAGTTATTTAAAGACCCTGAGTGTTGGTCCGGCCGGGGTTTGAACCCGCGACCTCCCGCTCAGTAGACCGGCGCTCTCCCAACTGAGCTAACCAGGCGGCGGTTTGAGAATGAGTTGAGAATGAGTAGGGAATTTTGTCGTTCATTAACCAGAAGTTGGCATGAGAATCATAGGTTTTTATAGGCACCTGTTCGGGCTCCTTGTATGAAATTTTGGTCACCGACGGGCGAACGTAGGCGCCCCTGGCGACTGGGAGCCGGTTGGGCAGCAGCCTTGGTTAATGGTCCTTTTTTTGCAAAAAAACTTGAGAATCTTTTGTTTTCAAGCGAGGTTGGGATTGGGCAATCGCAAGTGCCCTGGTTCAAGTAGTTGCACTATAATGCATAGGCCCCATATGCATAAGGGAGAATTAAAGCATTCAGCAGATGTACCATCCCGTACGATACAGAAGACGTTAAAACAGCGCTGCTTTAGCGACTTATTAGCGCTGCAACGAGCGCTGCAGAAAGGTTGCACGAACGCTGTTTTCCGTTCGCTGCAGCAGTGCATTTTTGTGACTGCGTGAACGCTGCGGTAGCGACACTGAGAGCTGCAGGAGCGCTGCCGTAAAGATGCAAAAAAATAGCCACACGAGGCCATACGGTCGATAAACAGCTTTTATGCAGCGCTGTGCAGCGTTAGTGAAGCGCTGCCAAGAACAGTTGTACAAAAAAAAGAAATGCAGACTTCAACAATACAATAATCATGAGACATGGTAATAAAGGAGTTGACAAGAGGCCTTATAGTAGCGGAGTAAAAACCACAAGAAATACAAAATGCAACTGATACTTTATTAGTATTCACGCGTACACGTTACAAAAGCAGGTGACATATAAAAAATCTACGACAGTCTCGCTTTGTAAATATTCAGCAATCACGGTCACTCATCTAAATGTAAGAACATCCATTAACATGCCGACATTGAAGTTTATCTTTTTTTAAAATAAAGAGAATAAGAGCGATTGTTCTACATAAAGTTTGCACGGACAGCAGCCAAATGATGTTTTGATTCGTTGCAACAGCCTAACATCGCTCACCTTGACGTTTTGTCCATGATCCACGATCTGCCGTCACTGTTTTCATGAAAGAAATCAACCCAATTTTACCTTGGTCGTCGTTAAATTTACAATGGACTAAGGAACGTACATCATCGTGAACGTTTGAATCTTGTAAATACATGCGTACCCCAGCTCAGATTCTTGTATCTGTGTTGCTTGCTCTGGTTCGATTAAATCGGTACTTGGCGTAGAATTCACTGAACAGTGCCGTTGTTTACAAATACCTTTGAGCTGTTCCATCCAAAAACATCAACAGAACTTCCACCTCGAAACACTGAACTAGATGCTAAACACTTACAATGTATGAATGTTTGCGCCTTTCATTCAACGGTCGCAAATGTTTGTCCAGCGATGTAATGTGATCTGATGCAAAAGTGCCGACCAATTAGATTACAGCCTAGAATGTCTCCAGGGAATTAGCGATAACATTCCCACACTCGCCAGTCACGGAATAAAATTTATTGAAATCTTTATTCCAAAAGCATAGAATTTGGAGGTTTATTCAATAAGTGATCTTCTCTGCGTACAAGCTTACTCACATTTCTTAGAGGTACAGTCAAAGTTTTCTCGTTATGAAAGCCGTAATCTGTGGCAAAAGGCTTTTCTGGCGGTTCATGTTATGAGCGCTCAAGAACGTTGTGCTATCAGATCCAAGGTAGCTGAATTGTAGCGTTACTGCAGCTATTGAAAGTCGGCAACTGCGCTGCAAAACTGCTGCCGAGAGCTTCAAAGGCAGCACCAGCGCTTTTGCATCCCGCTGCAACTTGGATTAAGCTGTTGTTTGGCTTCTAAAATGCTGCTAAACAGCTGTAATTTAGCTGTACAGCTATTTTGTGGCGCCGTACAGCGCTGCAAGTTTCGTACGGGTTTGCTCTCCAGGGTTTTAATTTTGAAGATCTTTAAGTCCTTATTTGGTATCTGCAGCGTTGTGCAGCGATAATGCAGCCTCAAGCGTCGCTTGTATTCAGGTTGTCATATGGAGTGGTTTCAATGTTTATATCTAAGTCTCATTGCAGCTTTTAAGCAGCGGCCCGCAGCGCTGCTTTACCGCTGCTTTACCGTGGCAAAATTTTGCAGCGCTTTCGCAGTGCACGAAATGTGACGATCTCTGCTTTAGCGACTCACGAGCACTGCTTTACAGACGCTTAAGCACTGTGCAACCATAAAAGTGAACTGCTGCAGCGCTGCGGCAGCGTTGCGTCGTTCGTACGGGATACTGAAGGTTACGGGGAGAATAGGGTGACTAACCGATATGGTACCAACAACTTTTTTTCTTATCATTTTAAGGGGGATGGATTCTCTTGTGTTGATACAAATTGTTAGCCTGAGAAGTAAAGCCAGTTGGTGGTGTCTCAAAATGTTGGCTGTTATCTCAGGCTTACAAACTGTATACACTGGAATATTTGAAAACTAGCTTTACCATTTGCTGAGTAATACATAGAGGTGGTTTTACAGTTTGCGAGCTCAGCAAAGGAAGAAAAGAATCCACACATGCAGTCCATTGAGATTGATATTAATGATGTACATCTGTGGCTCACATCAGTTAATTAATTATAAATGTAAATGTGATGCCATTGGTCAATTAATGTGAAGTAATATTAAAAATTCTTTGAGAAGTAAAGTGTGGTACAATAGCAAGCAATATGACAACCACAGGTGCCAGGATTAGTATGCATTCTTAACGATGTAGCTTGTGGATACAGCCATCTCTCCTCACTCCTTGCCACTAGGGAAGTTTTGCAGGCAAGATACCAGCGTTTCAGGCCTAGGTTCCATACTGATGGCATAAGTCAATGTACATAACTAATCTGGTAGTCATACCTTGCTGAGCATGTAACTAAAGCTTACCCACCCAATAGGCAAGGGTTCAGGCTTAAGTCATCCTCCAACAAAATCATTAACCACCTTATTATAGGAAATTAATGATGCACTTTATTAATCGCGTTAATTTAATGCATCTTAATTTCTGTCAGTGTTAATTAAATTCACACTATTTTACATCAATGTTGTTTTACAGCACCTTTATTTCAATAACAAAACCTCGTCTGCTCATAGTTCCTCTCTCAACACCTCGGAGTCACTATCTGACAGTTCTTCTTTTAGAATTAAGTTCAAAATGTCTTTCAACTGGTCTTCGTATTGATCCGTCCTGAGGGGATAGCTAACTTATTCAGTCTTTCTTCTTCTTCTTGGAAATGCTGCTGTTTTTTCCTTTAATAGATATGTATGTTGAGAAGTTTGTATTGCAACAAATTCGCATAAGGTAAAGTTAGGAGCACATTGTTTTGGAAAATTTGTGTTAATTTGTGTAACTTACATTTTCTTCGCACTGTCAACGTGCATCATTAATTTTCTATGATAAAGTAAGACAAGCAGAATGTGGCCTCAGGCAAGCAAAATGAGAGAGCTGCTTGCCACAAGGGGCAAACTGGAATTTAAGTTTTTTTAGCCCCGTGTTATCAATGAGAGAAGTGTAAGCTGGAAGGACCCTTTAATCACAGAAAAAGTTACGGTTTCTAGTGCAAACTTCCTACTTGTACTTAGAATTCCACTGTACTATTTTAACAAAGAAGGCCAGAACAGTTATGCTCTGGTGTCAAGCTGAGTCTTCCCATTATAGATGGCTACATAATTATGATAATAGGCCATTAATTACAGTTGTGGGCTTAATAACCTAGTCTTTGAGTGAATGTGAATTAAGGTGAGTTTGATCGTGTTTTGATACAAACCTGCTTCCTTTTCTTATGGAAATTATGCTTAAAAATACTAGTTTGCATAAAACCAACATAATAAGCAGCAAGGGTTATACCAATAGAAGGTAAACTCTAACCTTGTTTTCTTTTTTTTATTATTATTATTATTTTATTATTTTTTATTATTTTTTTTGTTTTCATCTGCAACTGTAAAATGGTCTGTGGAAAAATAATAGCTGTACCATGTAAAGTTTGTGCAAAGAACAAAAGATAATGCAAAAGTCAGGTTTCCATGAAGTACTACCTATATGGTAGTTTATTAAATAGTGTCGTGGTGATTTCCTCAGTGGCATATTTGTTTTCCTCAGGTCTTATGATTGTAAAATTTTGAGTTCTTCTTTCAACTAGTGCCAACAAAACTCAAATACTTTTTGTTAGACCTATTCCAAGAATAATAACTGTTTTTTGGTCTTTTCATCATGCTTACGTTTAAACTGTGTGACCTTTTGTCTTTTGTCTTTCATTAGTAAATAATGGCTGAAAGAGCATAATAATATTACAACTTTGTCAACCAACCAGAGCTCCTTACCATGGCTGTTAGTGCTCTGTTTCTTCTTGGGAAGACTCTGTTCCTTGGCTAGCTTGGGAGAGGTCACTTTTTTCACTTTCTGCTTGCAAATTTCTATTACCTTGTTGAAGAAGGCTGTAATGGTGGCTATACTTTTCCACATTTTTGGTTTGAACCGAGCCCGTTCTGATTGTACACTGCAGAGAGTGGCACCCCCCTTTTATAGAATGTTAGTGAAGGCATGGCTACTGAGCGTCTTCCTTCGTAAATAGTAATCCATCTTACATCGTCTCTACATAGCACCCACATTGACCCCTCACAGACCCTACATCGACCCCAAATCGACCCTACGTGATCAAAGAGAGAGGGTTGTACAGCATGTACAAGTATTTTCAGACTACGAAAGATAGGGACTGTAGGTCACATTCTATCATGCTTCTGCCTCTTAAAGATTAGGGTTCGTCAAATGACATCTTAGAAAAGGAGTAAACCAAAAAAAGAACTACCACTCAGCATGCAAGTAAAGTAGTGTCCAATGACCTGGGGCTAGTGGATTTTGCTATCATGCTGGTGAGTTTTGTTCTTAAGTTGCCCAATAGGTAAGTGATGTTTTTCGGGGGGATTCAAATCATAAAAGAACTTTTAACAAACCTGCTCATCAAAAATTGCATGTTTTTTGTGCTAGTTGAAATGAATTTTGGGCTAGTACATGCCCGAATGGCAAGCTGTATTTGCACCTGCCACCCTGACTCACATTTCTGCACCTTATTTGCATTATGTTGTGACGTCTCTAAGATTTATCTGCTATAACAATACTCATCATATCATTGAAATGAAGACAAATCAACTGAAGGTTATTACTTTTATCAGACAACATGGAAAAAAGATAGATCATTTGCAAGACATTTGCATGACATGTTTTTACTACTAAGACCAGGTTTCATGTCATTTTTCTTTCATATATTTGTTAGGTTATTCCACCCTGAAGAATTCTGGTATTAGTAATTAAATGACGCCATCATGCAAATGGCCTATTAATGCCAGTTGCTGCCAAATGAGTGTGGTGTGTTGTGCAACAAAAGAAATTTTAACTGGGGGAAGAAGTAAACAGCATTTAAAGCCTAAGGCTACATGTAGGGAATACAGTGACTTAAAGAAACAAAATGAAATGTTCACACAAGCCACAAAATGCTGCAGTTTTTTGTGACTACCTTGTTTTAATTATTCATTGCAGAGCTGGAACTGGACAGATATAAATTTATTGTTCAAGTTGTCATAGGTGAACAGAGGGGTGAAGGTGTGAAGTAAGTCAAATAGAGCACATAAAAAATGAAATTAAAAAAAACATCACGTAATTAATTTTCATATTTAAACCTCTTGTCAGGTGTAATTTTTTCCAATCCATTCCCACAGAAAGGCACTGGTTCAGATCCCCAAAATATCCAGATTTATCTTTGCCCTTCTAGTGACTCCTCTTGCAATAGAGAGAAGAAGTCGTTACGTCACGTTGCCATGGTAGCAAAATTTCCGCATGACAACAAATCAAAAAGTCATTAAAAAAGTGGATTTGCACTGTTTCAAACTTCGTTGATCCTTTTTAATTTGTCAAATGTTGACAAAATTTTCTGGGTCAAATCTGAACGGTCCGTATCTAGGTTGAGAAAATGAAAAAGAAACTTTTTGTTTTGTGCTCACCTACTCCTTAAAGTGGGCCCATAAAATTAGGAAGTTTCATGTCGCAGTCATGCTACAACAGCTAAGAAATGCACAAAAAGCGTGGATCTGCATATGCAAAGTTGTTTTTTTTTTGCCAATCTAAACCTATTGTTTCTTTGCTGTTTGCCGTCGCCATTACAAAAACTCCCCATTGTTGTTATCCAGAAATTTTGCAACCATGGAAACGTGATGTCACACTTCTCCCCTCTATTGTCAAACAAAATAGCCTGTTGCTGCCCCCTCACCTCAGGAAAAAATCCTGCGATAGGCTGTGGAAAAAAAATGATTCATTTGGATTTTCTCAAAGAAATGCACCTTAACCTGCAGTACATGTTCAGGTGCAGTGAAATTTTTGCTTTTATGTTTTCCAGTTAGTCCTTAAGTTTTCTTTACTGACTGGGTAGTAGTTTAGCATTAGTGGTTTTATAGTCTAGCATAGTCCCATCAGTTTAATAAATCATATCAAAGGCTGGGCACAGTGTTCATCACAAGTCAAACACTGAAAAGAAAGTTGAAAATATGATTCAGAAGAAAACTTGATTTTTCAAAAGATTATGAGAACAAGATTTTCTCAATGCTTAGTAATGGTCGTGCATGATCCAGCATCATTTTCGCAGGGAAACATGATAGCTGTCATCATTCTACCACAATTTTTAGCAAGAATATGGTAGAGGTGGAAACAAGTCATCAAATGATAGACGTTTTATCATTTTGTCATCGGGAGAGGACTTATCCTCTCCTTCAATAAGGATGAAAGTGCTAACTTTTCCGGTGAAAAAGTACAATGAAGCTTTCTAGGATGTCTATTTTTTTAGAATATGAAAAAAAACTTGAAGTCACATCTTGTAGTGGCAGTTGTTCTCATTCTTGAATCTAAAGCAGGGATCGAAATAACAGCCCTTTCAACAAACCATGTCTGAACTGATTACGGAGTTGACCGGTCAACCTTTCGTCTTACCAGTGATGTTGACCGGTCACATTTGATTGTATTGAAAATGAACTAAATTAAAATTTCCATGCTGTTCAGTTGTTTCAGTTGTTATCAGTACATGTGTGTAGCGAGTTGCTGTGTATTGCGGAACTTTGATCTGAAATCTTGGGTGAAATGCAACTAGAACAGTTGTTTACAATTTGCACATTGAAACATGAGCATATTTTCATTTCGACACTGTGATTTATTTTTATTGTTGACAATGAGTGCTTTAAGCTGTAAGCTCTAAACAACGACTGTTTTGGAAATATATAATGCCAGTTTTTGTTCATGAGTCAATGATTTAAGAGTTATTTATCTTATAAATTTGACTGGCCAGAAACGATACGTGACCGAGCTAAAATGAATTTGGCCGGACATCGTGTCCAGAGACTCAACTAAAATTATTTTGAGCCCCTCTAAAAGTCTCCATTATTTACCATAACGCAAAACGATTTTAGTGGGAGATGATTAATTAAGAAGGTAAAATGAGGAGTTTTTGATTGATTTGCAGACACTCAAAAAAAAACAGTACCATAAATGATCGATTAAGTGCCAGTACTCGAATAAGCACCGCAGTGCTAATTTGAGTACTTTTGTTACGGCACTTGATATAAAGAGATATCAAAACCATATTGCTTGAGAAACAAGAACTCAACAAACTCGTGAGTTCTACAAGTTTTAATTTAGGGAAACTCTTGAAAACGGGTTCATACAATGTATTTTATTACTATACTAATTTGTGCGCACCTCACTTAATTCTCTCTATATTCCACTCGGTGTTTTACCTGTAGTTGAAATAAGCACCGCTCTCTAATAAGCACCGTACCTATAACAGGGAAAATGAAATAAGCGCTGCGGCCCTTAATCGATCATTAAGTAAGTAAATTTTGTAACATTATTTTGGGGAGTGGGAGGGTAGCCAGTGTCACAAAATTAATATCACGTTAGCTTTACTGGCTAAGAGTTTTGTAGGGGCGGATCTAGGGGAAGGGTGCAGGGGGTGCGCACCCCTCCCTGAGATGACCTGCGGTTTTCTAATACAACTGGTATTCTGCAAAAAAAAAAAAAGAACTATGTGGTTTATTAGTGTTGAAGTAGAGCAAGAGACGAGTCCCTCCTAAAAAAAATCCTGGATCCGCCCCTGTTTTGACCTTCACAAAATCAACTAACTAAAAATGCAATATAACCTATTCTTTTAAATCTTTGTTAAACTTTTGTTTTTAGGGTTGCATGTAGGTGTCTTTGGGATTCCGACACAGATAATTATGCACAGGATATTTTCATGAATGTAAGTCTGATTTGTCTTGTCGTCAGTAGTGTATCACTGTGGTCGTCCTTACTAGTTATTTTACAGTCTTATAATCATTAGGATTATTTAGCAACAGAATAGGAACATCTTCAGTTGACTACAGTGCACACAAATCAAACAACTGACTTGACCAGTGGCAGAGTAGCAGAATGTGCACCGAAAGTCGCATGTAGTCCTTTCTGTGCACTTTACCATCATCAACAAATGTTCCTTTTCTGTTGCTGAATCAGTCTATTAGATAGAAAGATAGACAATAGATACAGCTGTAGTTTATTTATAATCACAATGCAACCGAGAGGTTGAATTAGGTTATTATTTACAAATAATTTTGATTACTTAAAAATACTACCACAAATAAGCTAATTTAGAAAGAAAAATGAAAGAAGCAAATAATGGAAACAAAACATGAATACATTACAGTAAAGTTGTGATTTGTTAAGAAATAAAAAATAGAAATCCACATGATAAAGAGCAATCAAAACTTCTAAAAACTGCAGATCGGGAACTCAGTTTAAGCTTTGAGGGCATTGGACATTTGTTACAAACTAAGGTGATTCCTACTTGCATATCAGGTGAAAGTTTCCAGCAATTTTTAGCTCTTCTTCTTAGATTTATTGATTACATGTATCCCACAAATTTACGCTTACATGTATCATTGGCAGACAGGTCAGGTTAATTGTCTTGATGTAAGAGGTTTACTTGCCACAGCATCCTCGTCTGTGGTATATATGTAACTCAAAAGCAAGCTTCACTATCCAATTTTTTTGTCAAAATGTGGTAACATAAGCCAAAGTCAAAATGATTTGTTAAGTTAGAAAAACTCTAGGGAAGGGTTCAGAGCCCCTTAGACCCCTTGAATTTGTGAGAAAAATATTCTTGACAAAAAGTTGATTGAATCTTGAAAAGTTTATGATAATTCAACAATAAAGCTTGGCGTAAGTAAAATTGTTTGAGTTAGACACAATTAAAACTGAAAATTAAGGGCTCTACTGTTGCCATGGTGACTCAATGCAAAACTTTCTTTAACTTTAGCACCATGCATTCTTTTTCATTCTTTGCTGCTAATAAATTCTTTAAAACAAAAAAAAAACAAACGGAAAGCTCGTAAAGCTGACAAAATGGTCGTTGCTTGTCTTAAGATACAGTAACAGACACCATCCTTGTAACATCAACTGAAAAATAGTATAAGTATTGGTTCACCAAAGTTTAAGTGCAGAAAACTGTCATGAGCCACCTTACATCGTAAAAAACAATATTCTTTCAGTCAAAAAATTGGGATTGCTTTTAGCCCAGATAACATAAAATACTAACATTTGAACAACTACCTCGAAAGTTTGATTTTTGCTAACAAAGCCGACCGCACAAGTACAACCGCACTCCCTCAGTCAGCGATGTAAGAACTCAAGTAAACCGAACACTCGCAAATTTCTACAATGTGCATATAAAGTTTTACACGCAAATTTTCCTAATTTACCTGTATGTTCTCGTGTATTTTTGCGTGTAGTCTTTTACACGAGTGTTTCACGCGTGTTTTTCGGGTGGAATTTGCGTGCAATATGGAGGATTTCCACCCATGAAAAACGCGTGTAATGCTGCAATGCCCGTGGCTTGTACTGTAACCTTGGATGGAATGCTAGCTGAAAGCATGATACCCTGTAAATAGGCTCCTGTGGAAGCATGCTGAGGGAACTCACCCTTCCCCTCCCCACACGGTGAGAGAACTACCCTTTCCACTGCCTGTCTGCTCATGCTTTCGAGCGTTCTTGTCATCCTACATGTATACCCCACAAGACAATTAAGAAATTTCCTGCAATTTTGTCAGTCCTATTTTATCGACAGTCCACGGTCAGTTTTATTGACAATATTGTATTTCATGTGTCCACTTTTATTTCTTTACAAGTTAGATTACGCGGCTATTACTCGAATGAGCGCCGCAGCGCTTATTAATTTTTCTCACATGGCTCCAATTTGAAGGCAGGGCTTACATTAATGAAGATATTTTTTAAGGGTCCATTTCCTTTCTTATGAATATCAGCATTTGCAAATGTTCAAAAACGACAAAAATCAGCAAGCAGGGGTTTCAACAAAAATTGAAGTAGCCAGCAGGTTTGAAAAAAGTAACCAACTGTATCAAAAAGAGGCTTTTACTTCCCTTTTTCTAGAGGGGTCTGGGAGCGTGCACCCCTTGAAAATTTCAAAATTTCAATTCCCTAAAATGCGATTTCCAGCGTTCTGGGCGCTAAATTGAGTACAAAAGATAATGTGTTCAGCGTTCCAGCCAGAAAGTTCTGCTTGAGGGCCAAAGTGGCCCCTACAACCCATTTTTGGGGGCTAGATTTTTCAAGCAAGGGCCAATATCTTTCTAATATGCAAAAGAAAAGAAACAGTTGGGAAGTTAAATAAATTAAAATGGCAGTTTATTTAAAGCTGACATGGAGCATTCCTTTTCATACACATTAGAGTAAATCTTCGGCAATAAAGCAAACACTACCACAATCAGAAATAGTAAGTACTTTTTTTCATTGCTGAATCATGCATCACATTAAAATGAATAGCTGAAATCGTTCAACGAACGTCTGAGCGGAATTTTTTTCCATACGAGCTTGTTTTTGCTTCGGTTCGTTTCCTCAGCTCCGCTACACCATCAACGTTTTCCAGTTCACCGTCAAGATATTCTTCTGTTTGCTTCTTCTTTTCGCTTCGCCGCCATCCACGTATTCGTTACTTACTGAGAAATAAGTTGCGATAGACCTTGAAGATGGGTTTGCCAGGTTTAATCTCCCAAGTCGAGTCTCAGTGCTCTCCACTCATGGTAAATCAGGTAAACATGTTGGCCGATCCAAAAAGATTTATTGATTGATTTTCATGTTGTGTAAAAAGGTACGGAGTTGTTGTTCTTTAGATTAAAAATTCTGTTTTAATGGAACATTATTGTAGTTGAAGTAACAGAGACGTTTTAAGCTCTGGGAATTAAAAAAGGAAAGGGCCATAATGGCCCTTGAACGCTTTTGTTGAGGGCCATCTCTCGATCTTTCGCGGGATTCACGCAATGGCGCACTCTGGCTGGAACACTGAGTGTTTTGGATCAATTTGGACAAGTAATGCACATTAAGTCCCAAATTTTGCTTAAATATTTTAAATCTGAAGCAAAAAGTTTGTCTAGGTCCAGCTAATTGAATTTTACTACAACTTTTGACAGAATTTTTCTTTAATTTAATACTTTATTTACGCCCCCCTTCCCTCCGAAAAGAATGTTTATTAAAACTGCATCGCAGCCAAAGGCTGAATTACGCAATTATTTACAAAAACTGTACAATACTTGAAAATTACAAATGAATCCTCGATAATAAGTCAAAAACTGATTTTTAAGATAATATTAAAAATTCTATATAATACATTCATATTAAAAGAGGGTGTGGTTCATTTCAAAGGCGGCGCTTATTCGAGTAAATACGGTTGGCTCAAGGGGAAACTGTTGCATTCTTTTATTGTAACGGCCTGGATGTAAAGTGAAAAGTAAAGAGTTAACTGATGAGAAATCCATTGGGAATTTATCATAAAACAACCCCCAAAACAAACAAAGTTAAGCCCGTCTCACTAATCATGTAGCTAGATGAGGTTGTTAACACTACTTGCTTACTCTGGAAAGATATTACATGCCATAACATGCAATGGAATTTGTTAATTTTTACATTATATCTCTTTGGTGATATAAACTAAGAAATTAATGAAGTAGAAAGTAAAGTTCAAGCACAATAGGATTCACGTATAACATTGTGTTTAATTTTAATTCCCGACATCGACGATCAGCGAAAAAAGTCTTCCTCGTTCCTTCCAAATACCTTATTCTACCAATTTTCGCGAAATTTAAAACTCGCTAAAATTAGAACTGGAATTTTGCCCGAAATTAAAATAGCAACATTTTTTATACCATATAATGTTATCAAACAATGCAATTTTTAGAAGAGCTGTAAGTCGTGAACGTGATGTCAAAAGTTCTGGAAAAAACGGAATTTTTCGTAACTTTACAGTCTTCTTCCCCGTTTTCACTATCATCTCTATTTCTCTTTGTAGTCTAAATCTTTCAAAAACCTCGTTTTTGTAATCATGGAACTATATTCTGTCGTTTCCGGTTTCCCTGTATAAAGCCCTGGCCTTTTTTGAGATTATAGAAATGAGAAAGTCCTGAAAACTAATACGCTTTGGTTGTTTTGCTGACCCGAAACCGCGAAATGAAACACTAGCGAAATACAGCTTCCGAATTTTTCGTGATATTAAGCACGCGCGAAAATGAGTAAGATGTAGCGGGTCCCTTTTAGTGTACTATCACGAGAATCATCCAATGTTTTCGTGTGAACTACGAAAGTGGACTCAAGGATGCACGAAGGAAGCGATATTTGAAAAACAACAGAAGACAACGATTTATTCTCCAACGTACGAGGAAACCAAAGTAAGGTTTTTTGAGCTGTTGCTGATTTAAGCTCTCAAACTTGAAAACGCTAGAATCAGTTTATCTTGCTTAGTTTCTTCAGTGTTGTATTCTTTATAAGCTATTTCTCTTTTAGCTGTCATTTCTCGGTAATCCCTTTGTGGAGATCTTAATTTAGTTGATGCTTAATTAATCTGGTCGTATCCATGCATAGTTGTCATTTCATATATTTCGGCCTGAGGATTTCAATACTCTGTTGGTGCAGATTATGAATGATGTTAAACAGTACTATAGAAGTTTCCTTAAGTGGCGGTTTGCCACGAACCAACTCTATTACATAACAAACAATCAGTCTAAAATTGAAAAGCTTGGGCCTTTATGTAACTAGACAGTTAAAACCTGAAGATATACTCCAAAACTCTGTATTGTAGTATACTGAAATTAAAATATAGTCCTTCTATTTTAAAGCACAACAAAGGCTAAATGAAATTTGCATCGGTTAACAACAATAGTATATTTCTCCAAAAACACATGTTCGAATCGATCGATCTTTGCGTCCTGCGGGACGCATGTCATTAATTATTTTGGGGATTTTGGGGGATTTTTATGCTTCAGGGACACAGGACGCAGAGGTATCAAAATCACTGAAAAAGATCTTCTTTGACGATCTCAGGTTCACTCTGGTAGAGGAGATCAAAGTTGTTGTTTGTTTACGTTGCTTGTTTACATTGCATTCTTAAATCACTCATTTTCCTTACCAGCCTAAGCAATAAAAAAGTTTTTTAAACTAAAATTTCTACACCTTCTTCATGCAACGTATGGAATAGAGAAAGTAGGGATTTTTTCGCCATAACCTGGCCTGTGGATGTTTTGGTCGCACTAAGCACGTGGCGTCAAAGAATCGGTCCTTTTTCACCCTCCGCCGCTCGCACGTAGTGCCGCACCCTGTTTGCGTTCTTTCCGAAACAAAGGTGTGTTTAAACAACAGTCTTGCAAAGCAGAGAGTTGTTTTCGCCGCTCGGCTGCTTTGCAACAGGTGTTTATAAAATGAACATTCGCGAGTCCAGCTGAGTAGAGACAAAATTGTCCAACATTGTCTGCTTGTTTTCCGTACAGTTCCAGACTCGTCGAATTCCTTTGTTTTTTTTTCTGATTGTGTGGTTTGTTGCTCATATACGTTTTGTTTTGTTTCGCAGTTTTTTTTACCGATCTAGCGTTTCGTTCCCAAGAAAGAAGCAAAATTAGAAATTAGCAATCATCTTTTGTTGAACTTCCATAGATAAGCATCATTATAGTAAAAGGCATAACAACCGTTTTTTTAAAAAAATCAGTTGCCAATTTGAAAAATCAGTGCCAAATTACATTCTTTAAGATTTGTCTTCGAGCGTGAAAAGATTTTGACAGTCAACGGTTGTAGCATTCCTTTTTCGAGCGCGATCAAACCTTTAGTACCAGTACAATCAACTTTATTTTGAAGTAGGCAGACTACCGTGGCGAGAGCAGAACAATGAAAGAACTATCAGTTAGTTTTACAACTTTGTTTAGATGAAAGCATAAGAAAAACATGGTACAAAACAACACGGGGATTCTGTTCCTGCATAGAGGAACCTAACACTGGGTTCAAATCTAAATCCCGCATATTGACGGTTGGGGGTAGAGTATCTAGGAAGGCAGTTAACCACCTTAAGCATCTACCTTTGGATCAGAAAAACGCTTTCATCTTTATGACTATCGCCAGTTCTTTTAATATCTACAAACGTTTTTCTTGCGTAACGGTGTCGTAACTGTAGCGTTTTCTTATGATTATCGAGTTTTTATACATTTTGAAATGCATTCAACATTGTGCAATCTCAAAAAAATTGAGCAATCCCTTTTTGTCACGTTTTGGAGTTTCAGTTCTTCTCTGTAGTTAGCTTTGTTTCAATTGTGCGAAGCAACTAACCTCAATAACCGCATTCATGCGGTATTTGTCAAAAATCTCGTTGTTCCTTGGGAATTTGCTTAGGATAATTGGCTCGCAAAACTCAAATTTCAACGTGTCTCTGTAGCTAGTGGAACGAATCCTTCTAGTGTCACATTTTTTGTTTTTCGGTCTATTTCAAACTGAAATTTGAGATGTTATTTTCCTCTTTTTAAACTTTACGGTATTCGATGAATGAAGAGCAAAACCCACAAATTCCATTTATTACCCAGCGCGGTGGAAGATGATCTGCGTTGGCCAAATTTGCAAGTTTTCGAGACAACGTAATCTTGCAATGCTCGACTGACCCCTCGCCGTAGGCGTTGTTTTATAAACACCGCACGCTCAAACAATGTCCTCCAGCCACGACAGGTGTTAGCATTTTAACAAGAACAATGAATGTGTCGCTGCGTTATCTTCTCTCGAGTTATTCCCACGGTCTCCTTAAATTCAGCCTTGTTATTGTTATATGTTATTGGCACGCAAGAGTGCACAAAATGACTGTTCCGCAACACGAGGGTTTGTGGAGCAATTTTGGCCCATTGACGCTACATGTGGTCGAAATAAGGAGCATATGATGTGCTTAAGCCGCTCTGAGCCCTTTCATCAAATTGATCGGTGCCCTTTGAACGTGGCAAGGTCTTTTAATCCACGCACGTTTCTGGACAATTCTAGATTACTAAATCACGACTTTTGGATCTGACTTGTCCTTGTGCCCTGGATTTACTTGCATAATATCTAGCTGTTCCAATTATTTTAGTTCTTTTTTTAACTTTGAACACTTAAAGAAGTCTTATAGCTTGACCTTCCTGCCGAGGGGAGGGGGGTACTCCCTATAATGGCCTATGCGGGGTGGCTACGCCCTAAAGGGGTGCCTTTTTTAGGCTTCAGGTATATGGAAGGGTAGGGATTTCACTTGCTGAAGTATATGAAAGGGTTGGGAAATCTCTCATTTCGGCCTGTAAAGAGGCCCAATAGGGCTAAGAGATACATTTTATGGTTGTGAAAAAGTGGGAAACCTTCTGTTTTGAAAGACAGTGCATTTACAGCAGTTTAATGGGATGTAAAGTTCGAAACTATGCACGTGAAAGGGGTATCATTTGTCAATAAAGCTCTACGAAAGGGGTTCCTTTTCTGTCGTAAACGGTATATAAAAGGGTAAGGGGTTGGACCACTGTCCCGAGCCTCCCTGTATAAAACCCCTTCTGAGCTCCCCCGATCCTCCTTGTTATTACACAAGGTGGGTCTTATGAGTGGGTATATGGAGGAAGTCGTTAAGTATAATGTGATCCTTCAATTGTGAACTGAAAGCCATCGAACAGTATTAGCCGTAATTTTGTTTGTTTATGCTGTATTCCTGAAGTATTAAGAAAGTCCGTTGTAAAGTATGACCATTAGTTTAAAAGTCTTGAGCTGTATTTTAGCGTTGTATTGTTTATCGTACTTCGCGAGATCGTGAGTAAAATCCTGTAGTGTGGCCATTCAGATAGAGACGGTGGGCAAGGCATTGTCGAGGTACTTTTGATAATGTTGAACAAGGTAGCGCTAGCTTAGCACTGACTCTGGATGCAATCATAGAATGCGACCGTTCTCATGATATCTAAGGAGAACGTTCCTACAGTTCTGCTTGTCATTCATTAAAAGTTCTTCTTGAATCATCCTGGAACTTGCCCGATACAGTCAAGGGACATAAGTATTCGTCACTTTCAAAAAAGATGCTCGAAATTTTCACCCCTGTTGTGCACACTGTCAACAGGAAAACTTGATGCAGGGCGCGCGTTTGCTCAATAAGGCCAGGGCGGAAAAAAATAGCAAAAATAGAAACAAACAAACATCCGACCAAGAGCACGAAAAAAAGAAAGAAGAGCTGTTTTTTTTTTTTTGGCACTTCGTTTATTCAGTCATTCGACATTAAGTTCAAGGTTACGTCGCTAAAAAATGGTCATGTTTTTTCGTTTTGCTTCTGAGAATTTATTTTAAGCTCTCATGAGTCGAAAAGGTGCTGACCTGTCCACAAACTATCACGAGTGTTCTAAGCAAGTACGGGAGGACTGGCACAGTGGAGACTTTGACGCGAAGTGGCAGGAAAAGGAGCTTCACAAATAGAGACTGAAATGATTTAAAGCGTTTGGTTAAAAGTAACAGACGACTTACCTTGCAGGACATTACTGCAAAGCTAAACGAGTGCAAAACAAAGACTTTCAGCCAGAAAACCGTGCAAAGATTGTTGCATTCGGAAGGATGTAAAAGAAGGTTAGCGAAAAAGAAAATGGTGGTTCGGGAAGCGAATCGAAAAAAGCGAGTCAAGTGGTGTAAAGAGCGAACAGGTAGAACAGTAGATAACTACTGGAAACAAGTAATGTTTTTAGATGAAAGTCAGATTGTGCTCGGTACAAACAACCATTACATGTAAATGTTTACATTTGGCGAAAAGACGACGAAAAGTACAACCCACATCTTATTTGTTCTCGCTCTGAACGGAAGATAAGTTTGATGATGTGGGGATGTATTTGTTACGACGGTGTTGGAACTCTGACTGCAGTTGAAGGCAACATCAACGCTGCCAAAGTGCATTGACATCCTAGACAAGAACGTATGGCCAGTAGTTGTCTGGTATTTTGAAGGAAAAGAATACTTGTTCACGGATGACAATGCGCCTATTCACCGAGCCCACACTGTAGAAAATTATAAAGATCAAAACGAAGTATCCTCAACCGAATGGCCAGCACAATAACCAGATTTAAATATAATAGAAAATATCTGGCTCTACATGAAGAGAGAGCTACAAAAGTCCGCGGTAGATATATCGCTACCAAAACTGATCCTCTGCGTGAAATCCAGAACATGTGGCGGAACATCGAATTGGATTATATAAGAAACCTTTACCAGTCCATACCTGACCGCCTAGACAATGTCATTAAAATGAAGGGTCATCTCATTAAATATTAAAGTGATTTTAAAGTCAGATTTGCCGGTGTTAAAACAAGCGCGCGTAGAATGTAAACGAACACCGCCATATTGAAAGCGACGAATACTTATGTCCCTCGACTGTAGCTTCCCTCTGGTATTTTACGATGATGGACTTTCGATGGTGGGCAAGTTCTTGCCGAAAAAATGTCAACCGTGTCATAAAAACTAAATTCTCAAGTTATCGCTTAAACCATAGGAAACAAAAACGGCGCCAAGGCGGCGTCTCTGTATTGTGGAAATAATTTGAGATAATTTCCTCGAATTTGAGTTCATTTCCGCAGCTTTTGTTTGCATTTTTGTGTGCTTTACAATTTATGTTTAACACTAGTTGTTTTGGCTACGACATAGATCTGAACTTTTTGCAAATTTTAAGACCACACCCAAAAGGCGTTCATCTTCGATGCATTAAAACCAAAACGGCTATGAATCGCTGATATTTTTATTACCTTAAACGGCCAGAAAGCGCTTAAAAAGGAAACATCAACTAAATTATCCTAGTATCGAAAATGACTGCAAAATTTGTACAATAATAATAATGTTACGAGTAACAAAATTCTTCGTTGTAGTATTTGTTTCGCAGTTAAATGTCATTCCTTTACTTTTGAACAAGCGAACGAAAGCACCCGAGCAAATGGGATATCAACTGAATTTAAGTATCAAAACTGGCTGGAAAATTGGAAAAATTACGAAGTTAAGGCAAAGAAAGCGTCATTGCTTTATTCATTTAGTTTTTGCTTGCATAATGATAAATGAAGATCCCTAAGTCCATTGTCAGCTTTGAAAAAAAGCATTCCGACAGCTGAGGTTCTAGCTAATTCTCAGTAATATCTATATTCTATTCTTGTAATCAGGCTTTTTATTGTAAATAGTTATCTCACGTAATTTTAGGCTTTATACTGTATAAAAGTTTTTGGATTTCCCTTTTCTTTCTCTATTATTTTCTTTATTTGTTTTTTTGTCTCGAGTTATTAGCATATTTTGGCTAGAGGTCTAACCAACCTCATCAAACCCGAGATTAAATAAAGCTTCATTCGTTCATTCATTGCTGTGTCACTCAGTCGTTTTGCAGCTAAGCTGAACACATTTTACCGTCCTTATTAGACCCTGAATTTTTACGTGGCACATAAACGGATTTGTTTCAATAATATGATAAATTTTCCCGCTTCAACAAAAACCGATAACAGGCTAAGGTGTTTTTGATCAGTCTATACGGTAGTCTCTATCCAGCGGATAAGTATTAGGGAAACTAATTGCACTATCCACTGGATAGTGATTTATCCGGTGGATAGCGCTGTCCAGCCTTTGAACGACCGAGGCCTGAACAATGTAAAGTTCTGTTTTGCGAAAGACTGAAAAACTAATAGTACCGACAACGAGAACCTCTTACGACGCTTCATTTGAGTGGTCACCCCTTAGGATTCCATCTACAGTCTCAAAGATTACTATAATCACCTTGTACAGCATGATAAACAGTACTACGAGAAAGTAGTTCTCAGTAAAATGGCATAACCAACCAGGAAAAAAATAAAGGAGTTTAGAAAGGATACCATGGTGGACTCAAAAGTTAGAACCAATTTCTACATCATAGGCTGCTTACACAAAGTTATTGGAGGGGACTACTAGCTATGGCTTATACAGTCTCCTCTTACTCCGTATGATCATAGCAATCGACTGAAACTACGATGGATGTACGTTATATCGACGATCTTTCGGGGAAATAGAGCCTCTGAAGAGTATAACAAGGTTTAGGATTTTGTTCATAGACCCCGTTTGATGACTATTTCAGTTAAGTCGTAATGGTCTCTCGAACCGAAATGTTTTACTATTTTGTCATCAGAACCTTAGTTGACAATTTTAAAATTTATCAACAGCGCTGTTGCTTTTGTAATAAAGGCGGTGGTTATTATGCAAAAACGAAAAGAGACATCGTTCACATTTCGTTCACATGTGTGGGATAGAGGAAAGAGCGGTGGGGATTACGGTTAGATTCCTATTGGGTGCCTGGATTATTATTTTGTTTGTTGTCTCTAGTTGGTAGCGTGCTGAATGCTTTTTTTTTCTCTGAAAGTGGTTTCGAAACCTAAAGCGGCCACCTACGCTTTTGATTTTCGCTTTATTACCAACGGGAGTTGTTTCAATCCGACACCTATTCCAGCTGCCAAAACGTCCACTTCAAAACTTAACAAAACATGTGTCTTACAAGGTTTAAAACATGACGTTAGAGTCAAGGCTTTGTCTATTGCTCTGTTATGTGATCCCTACAGTCGTGTTGTTTTTAGTTGTGTTCAATTTATCCAGGTCATTGAGTTTCACGCTGAATATATAACAGCGCTTTGATGGTAAAATAGCTAGCATTCGGTGTACTAAATGTGGCCTGCGTGTAGTTTTCTATAATTTCCGTCGTTTCACTGGTGAAGCAAAGAAAGTAGAAAATGTCTGCAACCATAAGGCTTTGTTGTTTGTCAATTGAACTGAACCATAGACGTCGCGCATTTTTTTTCTTTAAAGTTATCGAAGTAGTACCAAGCGAGTGGCGTAATCGAGAGCTGTGAGAAACGAGGGTGTGAGCTCTTGTCCCTACGCGCTCACTGTCACTAAGGACTTGACGGATCTAAAAGAAAAGGTGGACTGCGAGCAGCCGGTCTAACTGAGCCACTGTACGGTCAAGACGTTCTTGTGAATAAAGATATGCCTTTTGCTCTTGCTGCAAAAGATAATTTCAAGCTTGAAGATAAAAGATAATATTGATCAAGAGCACAGTTTGCCATTGTCGTCATCGTGGTATGCAGTTTTGGTATCTTGAGATAATAGAAATAAATTGAGCGAATTAGAAAGGGGGGTTAAGTTTCCTGGAGATTTAACTTCCCCTTTTCTCTTTGTACCGATAAAAATCAAATCAAATCAAAATAATGAAAAAAAACAGATTTTAAAGAAAAATATCTTGAGGAATCTGTTCGTAAACTTTGCTTTCCACACTATAAATGGCTGAAAATTTCGTGCAATGGAAGCTGTTTCTTATGTTGTAAAAGACGTTCATACCCGACTTTGAATCCGTTGTTGGAGAGTTCTGTTGACTCGTTAAATTTTATGTAATTGTTCAAGATATATCTAAATTGAGAGTGGTTGGGTGAAACCTGACCTTCGCACAATTCATTATTGTGCCATACTCCTTGGTGATACTTAATATTGTGTTTACTCTGTTTTGTGGAAAATATCCTATTAAAAAAATATCTTTAAAAGGGGTGCCTTAACCTTTTTAGAGTTTATGAAAATTTTCAATAGTCCGCGCCCCTGCTGAACTATACTTTCTTTCACAGGTGTTTGATTTCAAATTCTTTTCAAAAACAAAATAACTTTCTTAACTTTCCAGACATTTTCCGACTGTACTTCCATCATCGTCAGCCTAGCAAGCCACACCCGGAGCACAACTGTGATGACATTTCACTTTTGACTCATCTTAGCTGATTCTCGCGTACCAATAGAATGTCTGATCCATTAGCGTTTCTGGGGTGTTGTTGCGTAATAAACTAGTCTTTTCAAAGTGGAAGGATAGAGGCCTCGTCCAATTGTATCCGTTTTGTTTGAAAACGGACTTTTTATTGTCTAGATAAGCCGCAAGGAATATCTTGAAATTCCTCCTCCCCTCATCTAGACTTTCTCGATGTCCGTTTCCGGATTTTGCCCTTCGTCTCGCGACTTCATCGCTCTCTCTCGCTCGCTTCGCGAGCGTTCATCGCACCTTCGGCGCCTTCTCGCGGTCAACTTGTTACAAGTCTACCAATCATCCGGATTGACTATTTCGCCGACAGAATTCCCCATCAAGCACAGAAATGTCTATATTTGCCGATTGTCGAACCAAGAACCGCCGGCCGAGTCCTTATTTGTTTTGAAAATCGTTTAACGCTTCCGATTTTCAATAGCGGCAGTGAAAGTAGCCTATTTATCTGGTATAAGGAGAGAAAGAAACCTCATTGGCATTGACAGCACTTGTAATGAGTCCACCGACCCCCCTCGTAAATTGAAATGAAAGGTACCTTTTCGGCGGTGACTCTTAATTTCCCCGGATACGTGCCAAACTACAACGGATACATGCGGTTATGTTCATCATTTTCAAGATCATTCAGCACCATACCTCTTTGAAATACCGAATGATATACTGGCACGTACGAACCTAAGCACTTATTTTCAAGTCTTTAATAACCATCAACGACCCTTCGAACCTTCCCCTCAAGGAGCCACTTGATTATGGGGCAATTAATTATCTGCCGTTGGTAAATTGATTGAATGTTGAATCATTTTTCGTGAATTTTTCCTTCGTTGTTTTCAAACCTTTCAGACTTTTGTCACACTTGCTGAAGTCCATTTTTTCCCAGGAGGAAGCAGTTTTGCTTTTATATATTTTTTCTGTTTTTTTTTTTTTTATGTCGTCGATAAAATTGCACGCTTCCTCAGTTCTAATGGCTCGAGATGAAATACTTCATCTTCTGGTTAGCTCGTTGATTGAACGTGCATAAAACGGAAATTTGTTTTTAGCAAATTTTCAAATTGTTGAAGGAAATGGAAAATCGGATTATGAAAGAAAGATGGTGTCGAAAAGTTTCCTAGTCAAGGAAGAGACGAAAAGATGACTATAACCTAACAAAAGACAAATTTGTTTAAATGTAAAAAAAGAAAAAAAAACGAAAAACAGGAAGGGGAAAGTGTTTTTCCTGAAAATGGTGGAGAAAAAACGACGCTTTATAGTATATGTTTTTCACATTTTGTTAATCTCTAGTGATGAATTTTTTTGTTACACATTTACAAAGAAAAAAGAAAGCTATGATAATAAAAAAGAATTAAGCAAACGCAAGATGAAATTATTTGCAGCATACCCTTATAGCCAATTTTACCTTATAGCTCTTGGACCGACATCGATTGAAGCAACAACGACTGCGACAGCTACGAAAACGTCACTTAAACAGTGAATTTGCGCTGCCTCAAACTTTATCGCGCTTATTCCATCTCGTTTCATTCGTCAAATGTGGGCAATTTTTTTTAAAGTTAAATTTTAAGGACTGCATCAAAGCTCGGGAAAAGAAAAAGAAAGTTGTTGTCTTGGGTTCCCCTCATCGACAAATGGTGAAACTAGGCACTTTCACGTCGTGGTCGTACGACGACGGCTAAGAAATGTACAAAAAAGCGTGATGCACGTGCAAACTTGTTGTTTTGCTAATCTATGACTTTTTGCCGTTCCCGGGGGTGGGTTTTTGAAAAAAATTTCCAAGCGTCGTTGGAAGAAAACAATTGCATGCAGCACAAATGTAATAAAACACCAAAAAATATCCTGCCCACGTTTGGTGTTGACGAAATCTTATAATCTGATTTGGATAATAAAACACCAAGCGTTTGGTGTTGACGTCTCGAAAATAGAAGTCTCCAAAAGAATAAGATGGATTTTTTGAAGACGTAGCTTCTTGTAGCTCAAGTTTGTATTGAGACATGTTCGGAAGGTCATTCCTCGTCATCAGTGAAACATAAAATTCAACTTTGAATGTTATGTTTCACTATGAAAGAATGTAAGTTAATTAAAGGAGGTCACACTTTTGGGCAAAAATGCAAAATGACAGAGCTGGAATCGAAGTCTTTTTTCTCGAACCCTGCTGATTGATCATGTCCGAAAAATTAGAACAAGTCTGGAAGATTGAAAAAAGTTGTTATTTCTAAGAATATCTATGCTGTTGCTGCTCTCTAAATTTTTTCCACTGCATTGTTTTTAAGATCTAACACGCTCTATCGGACATTCTTCAACTGTCAGTTTTATTCACCTGTGCGTGCAGACCATTTCCCAAAGGAGCATCATTAGCTTTGGGAGAATAGTTTTTGCAGTTGTCATGGTTTCACATCGCCCCGCTTTGTGATTGATTTAGCACATGTGTCGTGTCACCTTCTTAACCAATCAGAATTACCCAATCGTTAGAAAGTGTCTCATCCGCGTCTGATACCAGCTTCATGACATCGTCAGCTGACAAAGTTATTAGAATCCAATACCGTATGGCACTACGATTAAAACATGTTTAAAACTCTAAGAAGCTAGTAATTTAAAACGCTTTTTTCATCCTGGACAGTTTTCTCCTTCGTGACCTTCATTTATAGAACAAAATAAAACCATGATATATTTAACCACGTAGCACCTAAGGGCTTATACAAGAACTTGTTAAAATGTGTGCGCATATAGCCAGGAAGCTTTACCATAGACATTCAGACTATTGACTAGAAAACCATGTTCCTGAATAACAAACTAACGCGCCTTTGCCTAAAGTATTCATTGGCACATTGGGGGGACAAAAAGTATGTAAATCTGAGACTATAGGGCTTTTTAAACTTGTGTACAGTTTGTCTGAAATTTACAAGGTCCTTTCTTTTTGGCAAGGGCTTAACAAAATGCCTGTAAATATGCACTTTTTGGGTGTGCCTATTTCTTGATCCATTGCGTGAGAAAACTCGGTGACTTCTTATCATGCCCTCTGTTTTTCAGACGACATGGCGTTTTTTTTTCTTTTTAATTTCGCTCCTTTTTTTTCAAGCGTGTACGTCTCTGTTTTTCCCGGCAATGTTTGCACAAACAAACTATACTACACGTGTCATACGATAAAAACGTGACAAATTGTTTATAAAACGAGGCTACCGCGGCTTCATGATGTCTACTAGTACCATTGTCACCCTTGAGAAAAACATGGATTGTTTATAAGTTCTATACGCCCCTGGCCTTATATGGTTTATTTTGCTTGTTCACTCGTGCGAAAAATCTGTACCTCGTGAGAAAACATACCGTTGGTATATTTTTGCGACTTTGCTTCATTTTCTCATGTGAAATTCTTTTGAAGATAATGTGCTAGTTATTTTAACCATAGTTTTAACGAAGTCGAACGTCATTTAGACAGCTGTTTTAATATACAATAGGTTAAAGAGCTCCAGATCGATTTATACTGATGTGGGTATTATTTCAAGGAAATGATTACTCTAGTCTACCTGTTAAACCTTCCCGTCATTGTTCACGGCCTATAATGTTACGATGTTAGGGTTTAAAAATTGAAAATGGCTTAGAATCGTAGGTAGACATCGCCGACTTGATTTGTTTCAGTCAGGCCACTTTTGTGACCCCCAAGAGACTTTGTTTTTCAAAGTTAAACTATGAGCTTAGCTTAAAATACCAGACGGTTTTGGCGAATTTTGGGCCGTTTTCCCTAGTAAATGAAACTAGTTGTGGTTCTCTGTTTATAAACTTTTAAAATAAAGAGATGATGAGTCCCCGTTGTAGAAAAAAATTTGCCTGTACAAATGTGTATATTCAAAACCCACAGGCCACAAAAAAACGTGGAAATCAAAAGAACTGTCTTGACATTTTTAAGAAGCGGGAGTCTTTTCTAGAATAAAGATAGAAAGATACGGAATTCTTAGCATACTGAGACAAAATGAGATGATCCTAGAAAAAACAAGCTTTCTTCAGTCTTGTATTGTATAGACATTTGTTCACGGAAGCGCTCCTTCCTAGAGCGGACACACCCTTATTTCTTTGGATGAACCGCCTCATAAAGTATATTTCCGATCGTCTCCATCGCATTCCTGCTTTTGTATTTGATTTTCCGACTGACTCAGACAGCATGTATGCCGAATGGTATTCCGGTAATTCCGGATTGGGTTTAGTTTTTGTCAATGATTTTTTAGTCAGTCTTAGATATCTTTAGTGTCACGATCGATTTTACCTTCTGCTGCTCACATGGGCTTCTGTTGCGTATAAAACAATTATGTTTTCTATCGCAGCCTTGCACCCCTTTGATGAGCCGAATATTACCCAAGATACTGGCCAAGTGCTTCTAGTTAACCAGTGTATACTATACTAGGTTCCCTAGCTCTTGAGTGAAGTTGTTGAATTTACGTGGGAAATTCATTTGACTTGTTTGCTTCGCATCCTCCACATCCTGTGTGTTTGAAATTGTCGGGTTTGTTGTTGTTCCTCGTAAAAAGGGCACAAAGAAAGTCCATTTTTGTGAAAGTTGTTAAATTCCAAGGTTAGAATTTTCATTGCGCGCTACTGATCTTTCATCCATCAGTATAACAAACAGCGCCGCAGGAGAACTCCGCTCGTTTGAATGTGGTTGAACTTCAAACTTTAGAGTTAGATCAACTAAGGTTTATCGAACACAAACAGCATAACAAACAGTACGACAGTCAATTTTTTTCCATAATTTGTTTTATTGGAATATATATTTTAACGATTTCCTTCAAAGGGGTCGAAGCTAGATTTGTCTTTCATCTTGAAGCATCGTAAGTATGAACTACCTTGTACTGAATAAAGAAAAACACTGCTCAATAGCTTTGTTTTGAATGGTTACACTTTAGGATTTCATGCTTAGACTCAATAGTTCTAGAATTACCTTTCATTTCATGATAAACAGTACTACGGTAAAGTATTACCAAGTAGCTTCAGTTCATTTGAGTGACCACACTTTTAGATTCCATCCATAGACTCAATAGTTAGAACCACCTTGTAGAGCATAATACATAAACAGTAACATCGGAAAGTACTGCTCAGTAGCTTTCTTTTGAATAGTCACACTGCAGGATTTCATCCACAGACTCAATAGTTAGAACCACCTTGCAGAGGATAATAAAGAGTAACAATGGAAAGTACCGCTCAATAGCTTTCTATTGAATAGTCACACCACATGATTTTCATGCAAAGGCTCAAAGTCGGGACGAAAGTCAGAACCGCAACTTGTACAGCATAATAAACAGCACCACAGGAAAGTGCTGCTCGGCATAGCTTTCATATGAATGGTCAAACTTAAGATTTCATGTACAGACTGAAAAGTTAGAGCCATCTACGACATAAACATCCCCGAAAAGCTCTGAGACCACTATGTTGTTCCTGCTGAATTTGTTCACTTGTGTTTTAAAACTTGTTATGTTCAACGTTTACCATATCTGAAGCATTTTACCGTTTGATGAGAACATTCTATTAAAACACACACAAAAAGCTGACTTCTTACTTGATTTCTTTATTTAGCAATGGCGCGTGGATACAGTTCATTCCGACTTTCTGATCGACATCGCACTTGATCGCCATCTTTCTTTAGTGACCGTGTGTTCAACTTCATTTTGAACTACTGTAGTTCTTGGTTATCTCTTCCGGCAACCGAGCTCCTTTCTAGTTCTTCATTCCTAGCTGGTCGCATCATTGAGGAAGTTGTAACTGCAATAGCGAAATACAAGTGAAGCGGATCACGACAACTGATCCGTGTTAATGCTGTATGTGTATATATCAATTAACAGTCAACAAAAGCATAGCGGGCCTTCTCGATCACTTGCTTTAGTTGTTTTGACCGTTGAAACATAACTATTGTCCAAAATTATTGGGCGCTTTACAAGGTGGGTGGCCTGTTCAATCCATGATCATCTATAAATAAGTTATTATCCATGTGAGTTTGCGGATACGCTGCCTTTAAAGAAGGCGAGCTCTGTCTGCTCTCGCTGTTTCAAGCTGCGAGCAAGCGGGTGAAGACGGAGCGTGGAAATCACGCGCGTCAATCGCGTTTCGGGCGATAAACGGTTCCACAGTTTCATATACAGAGTCAAGTTAGGCCTTGAACTGCATACAGCCCCTTTAAAAGCTTAATAGCTTAGAAGGATGTGTAAAGATTGTTTTATTGGAAATTTTAGGTGATAGACTGACTAAAAACTTGGTATCGCTTGGTGGGGTGTTAAGGGGTTAGAGTTAAGAAATATATAGTTTAATTTTGATTACAAAAATGCAACTTACACGCGATATTTGCTTTATAAAGCCTATTAACAAAGTACACATGATAACGCTGAGAGATGGTGGAAAACCGACAAGTTACGAACAAATATTATGTAGTTCACCTGTTCTTTTTACACACATTAGATACAATCATCCTCTAATAACTGTTATCGTGGCTCTTGCACCTAAAACCATCGCGTGTTTTATTATTTCTTGTTGTAAAAAATTGTTATCGTTTATCGTTCATATATATAATTAATACATGTATTTTTGTTTTAAAAATACGTTTACTATATTGCTTTTGGAATAACATCCGCTGATACGCGGTTAATCGTTTGAACATATACATTCTTTGTTGGAAAGAAAGCCAACTTCGTTTAAGTTTTAAGACCACAGGTGGCAGTGTCAAGACTTTTCGAGTCGCAATTTTCTGACAAAAGTATCTTGAAACAGTCGAAGCGATAGTCATCTTTAAAGTATTAGTTTGGAACAATCAACGCACGCTATAAATATAACACAGTAAGCTACGAGGGGCGGTTATTGAATCAACCAAGTCCAACTAGACCGTGGTTTAAAGAGTCGTTGGACCTCCAGATATGTTTATTGATGGTTAATTCCAAGGAGTTATCCTTCCAGTCTGCCCTATATGCCTTCTTGACCCTCCTAAACGTCGTTTAGATATTTGGGTTGGCCAGTTCTGAAAATGTACCGAAAGGATACGAATGCGGTAGCAGCGAAGATGACTACTAAACCGAGTAGGAGTGCACGTTGTCTCGTTTAGGGGGTGTAAATTGCAGTTCACTTTAGGGCAAGGCGTAAACTGAGAAGTGAAGAATAATGGAGGACAAAACTAAGAGGAAAAAGAAACAATCAAGCACAATATCTTACCACAATTAAAGTTATTATAGCAGTGTAATTTGGTATTCTGTCTAACAAGGTATCTTTGGGCTCAATTAAAGCTTTGACCACGCCCTGATTTACGGGTATAATTCCCCGGCGTTCCTGTCGAACGTGGGAGTCACCCCTCCCCCCCCCCCCGCCACCTCACCCCCCACCTGCGCTTACAAAGCAAGGAGGAGATCACATGGGTCACAACAAGGGTTTCTTTTAACAGGCTTACTTTTAAATACATCCACAGAACCAATCGCTATGGAAACACCTTGCGTAGGGTACAGAGTGCTGTTTGAATGTACTTTTATTTTATTTTTATTTCTGTTCTGGTCGCAATACAGAATTTCCTCTTCCGACTAGTTTATTAGACTCGATATTAGTTTTTAACAGCAAAAATAGATTTAACAAGCTGTTATTAAAAGCTAAATTTCGATCATGCCCCTTTTGTGTAGTCGTACAAGGCATTCCGAACCAAAATTTACATCTCTATCGTTAAAATAATTGTTCTATCTCGTCAGCAATGTTGATCTGCTGTGAAGTTCGTTTGCATGGCATGCAAAACGCTTTTGACACAAAAAATATCGGCGGTCTTATTAAAAATATCCCTGTCAAGATGTATCGATGTTACGATATTCTGGATATTAACGCAGAAGAAACATTTCCTCCGCTTGTTTACCATTAAAACGTCTAATAGTAACAATATTACGCGGAATTCTTTTTTGGCTATTTAAAGAATTAATGGGCTGCTGTAAACATGTCTGCGAGAAATGAGCAGCATCAGACTAGCCACAGGTAGCCCAAGCACGGTATGTGAGATATTGCCTAATCTCTAGCAACGTCCCCAGCGGCGAGAAACCATAATCTCAAAATGGGCACCCCGTTATAGATTTCATAAGAAGAGATTTATTCGCCAAAGTTTTCAATGAAAACCGTCTTCATATATTTACATGGTGTGTTCTTGCCTCCTGTGTGATTATTTTCCGTGCGATTGTAGCAACTGTCGCGAATAAATATCTTGTACGGCTCGCCAGGTAGGAATGCCCCACAGAAACACCGAAAACCAAAAGCCTAGAAGGGGGCATCATATAGAGAAGACAGAAAAGTAGACAGCTTAATATGATACCTGATGAAATACGTTTATGTCGTCGAATGCACACGTTTGTGCATTTTTGCCTAATTACGTAAACTTTCGAACGAGAAAACGATTGCCTCACACAACCATTGCACAGCTGTGAGAAAATTTAGCTTGTTTAGCGCGCGCTAACTTTGGCTGAGCGGTCCCGCCCCCAAGACAGAGCTAACCGAACGTTTTTGGAAGAGACCTCCCCTTCGTATCAGCTCTCTTTCGTCTAGCCTTCGAAAACACCCGTTTCTCCTCGCTCCTGGCTGCGAGGAGCGAGGGTGGTTTTTTCAGAGAACTGCGCGAAGCTTCTCGCGAGGAAAGACAGCTGTATTCGCAAGCCACCATCTTTTTGGTGCTGGGTTTTAGATCAAACACTCTCATCTCGTGTTTGATATAGCTTCTCAGCCGAACTATAGGTTTTAACGAAAAGCTGAGAAAAAAAAAAAACTTTTTTGTCATTTTTGAACGTCCTTGATAGTCTTTTTCAGTAAGGTTGTAATTATGCCCTTTCAGATTATGCGATCGGTTATAAAACCTCGCATCCAAAACTAAAAGAACTTTTGCAGTTTTGCACGTAGTAAGAAATTTTTGGCATTTTCGTTAAACTTTATTCTTTTTATATACCATTTTAGGTATTGAATTTTCATAAACTCTGGAAAAATGTTTAAACTATGAGCCTGAGGAATTTCACGATCTCGAATCTTATTTTACCTCTCATTTGAACACGTGACTGAGAATGTGACGGTCGCAGAAGAATCCTAAAGCTCTTCAGAGTACTCTTGTTTGTAGCCTTACTGACAGTAAAAATACATTCATCTTTACATTCATTTTCCATCCCCCTGGTAAGCTAAACATGATTTTCCTTTATTCCTTGCACATACCCTGATACATAAAGCGTAAATAACGAATGGTCGTTTAAGTTTATAAAACTAATTCGAAAAGCTGGTTAACTTGCATAACACAGATTGATTTACGCTGTGCGCGAAAGACGCGTGCCACGTGCCCACGTGGTTTTCTAAGGCGTGAATCGTGCGCTATATTTTTTAACGTTGCTTAGGTGGATATCTATTTTTTTTTCCCAGCCTTGTTGTTGTTGTTGTTTTGGCGGGGGAAACTGTTCAGACGATTTTCGAGTCATCGTTGTTGGAAAAGCTGCGCAAAAGATTCTTTAAAAACGTTGGTTTGATCACGTACGCTATACGATAGGTGTAAGATCGTTCTTTAGTTCAGATGTTTTCCGCATTATCGCATTTTCGAGGCGATTTAGGTTTTAGGTTACAAGAAAAAAAATACAATGTAATATAGTCGCACATTATAAAAAAAAGATATTGTGTAACAAAATTAAGCAAAAAGATCCTTTATAACATTGTAAACCTACCTGCAATTAACACGTTTAAACATTTAAATCTCGAAATTCCTCAACTTAACCTAAAAAACACGTAGCTATTCAGGCATGAGTTTCCTGTGGTGCTATTTGTTGCACTTTCTTGGGTCTGGTTGAGGTCTCATAAGCGTGACTGGGCAACTTGTGGAGTAGTGGTTTTTCTTACACCAGTTGTAAAAGGTGTTGCAGAAATTGTGGCCTTCAACGGCGATGTTCTTTCTTATGGAGCTTTAAGGCTGCAAAAATCGTAAAGTGTAACCATTACTACTAAGTAATTCAGCAGAGAGGCCACGTATGGGAATCTCAAACACGAAGAGCCCATCATTTAGAAGCTGGAGCCACCTTCTGCCACGGTAGACTCGAACCTGGACTTGACACTCCAATCTTACTTTTAATGATCTTTTTTTTTGTAATGTTCGTAAGCGAAACAATGTCTCTTGCCAGGTCTTTCCTTTCTACATATCACTTACAAAGAATGGATTTGATAACTATTTTGATATGCCTTTGTAATCTTAACTTGTGGTTTACGGTGATCCATTGGGAAATAATTAGTTCCACATTTGTGTCTGTATCGCGTAAGACTCTTACATTTATAAGCGCCGAAAGATCAGAGCCCGTTGTTATCGTAACTTCACACTTAGGTCATTCGTGCAATTAACATTCATGTATTTTTTTCGCTCGAAAATAGACAACACAACTCAACTTGATTTTTCTTTTTAGCCTTTAAAACCCTCAGAAGAGAAACCTTTGTTTCCTATCATTTACACCCGTAAAAGATCCCGCTTGTGGTTAATTTGAAGATCTTTGAACTATACTAATGGAAGAGAAAACGCTCTTGCTGAAAACTTGTCTTTGCAAACACAAGCCTACGTATAGTTCATTGTACAGTTATAGCAATGAAATTATTAGGTATAGATATCCACTGAAAGATTTCTTTTATGCGAGGTGGTCAGCAAATGACCCTATTTGTCGGATTAAAACCTCTTCAGCTAAGACTTTTTTTCGCTTCAAAGGAAGTAAAAAAGAGTACGCAACAGTCGAAATTACGCGCTGTTCCTTTGTTGTATCTAGGAAGTGCTGTCTTAGGTTCCCTTAAGTTTTGTGATTATAATTTTTTCTCTTTTTCCCGCTGATTTTGCAGTTCTAAAGAATTTCTCCCTCTACTGTTCCCTAAGCCATAGTTTGCTCAGCTAGGTTAGTGAAAGCCAGTAAGTCAGAGATAGATCTGATACTTTCCAGCGAAACAACTATTGATTTTAAATGTCCCTTTTCTTTTTAGGACACTTTATTTTGCGTGGTGGCGGCCTATGGCGTTTTTTACTACTGACCTTAGTCTACGCCACGTTTCTGTTGGCCAGCGTCGCCGGTCCCCCCTGGAATTATCAAGCATAAGAACATCATTATTGTAAATATAAATATTAGTTTATGTAAATAGATCATTTGGGTACGTGCGTGCGTGATGCACTGTTCTGACTACGGACAACGCCCTCACCCCTCCTCTGCCAACCTGAAAAATAAACAGTACACACAAACAAGCAAAAAGGAACATGATATGTCATTAGTGGAATCGTTTCGTTTCTCAATTTCTTTGCAGTGTAAGTTACTATACTCGGAAAACATTGGACGTTAATTTTTGCAAGGATTGATAGCAATATTCTAAGCATACTATTTAAAAACTCTTGGCTGGCACTAAACAAAATCATTATTGAGCAGTAAAACTACCAGTTTCGAATTTCTGTGACTTCTTTGCAATCATTTTCCCTTTCCTCAAGAGGAATTAATGCGCGAGCTCACTTTTCCCTCGTAATCTGTGTTATCTGAGGGATATCTCGCATTGGGATTAACACGAAGTTTTCGTTAATCCTAGTACATAGTGAGTCAGGGATTAGACATTACAAATAGATCACGATGTACATTTTTTGTTATAACTTTCGTTCAGTCACATTCATCGTATAATAAAGTTATTAGACCTGAGGTACTTAAGCCTTGACTCAAAATCACTTCTTCTTGGTTCTACGCAAATTCTCATTGCATTGGTTTCTGCCGCACAAAATGTGCTATCACTCGGTCTTATGAATTTCACTTATCAGTACCATAGTTAATCCAGCTTGGTTGATTTTAATCGTTTTCTTTTTGTGGCCATATTAATCGGAAATCGTGCGCAAAGACAATTAGTTACAAACCAGAAACGTCTAGTGTACTATATAAGCATTTGTGTTGAATTTTACCCACCCTATCATCAAGTTCAACGACTGATACTGTCCTCTCGTCTTCCTTGTTATTTATGCTAATGTTTAAAGGGGATTCTGTGGAAAATGAAGCCAGTTATGGCGCTTCTCCAAATCTGGTTGTTCACTTTTATAGCGTAGAATCTTAAATTAATATTTTTCCAGTGTTGAGGTTGAGCTAGATGCTATTAATATTGTGGTTAAACAACTCACAAAGGAACAAACCATCGTCGTCTGGTTTGATATTTACGGAACTATGTTCCTTGCAAAAGCCAATACTGGTATTGAGTCCCCAGCTTACTTGTATTGTCGTTTCCTTAAAAGCCCATAAACAGTGGACACGCTTTAATACCTTCAATATTACTAAGACCCTTCTGTTATTATTATTATTATTTTTATATAAATATTGTTTCCAAGAACATACCTTTTTAAAATATAGCCGGGGAATGGAGGCAAAAGCAAACTCAATGTCCACTTCCTCTCTCATTCTGACTAATCAGGCACCTCACAGTCTCTATTTCTATTTGCGTGCAGTGATAGATTAAGATTTTCCTTCGCGCTCTGGGAAATGGCGAATCTTTGACATCCATAAAAGGATTAGCAAGTCTTTTATTTGTTGTAACCGAACTGTAAGTAAGTCGTGCTTGATACATCACGAACAGAGATCAGTTTTACTCCTAAAATTCTACTTTCTCATGGAAGCTCTAAGTCGACTCAAGTTCTTTTATTATTTCTTCTGTTGTAATAGTTTTTGCGTCGATTTTTTCCTTGAAGGGGGGCATTGAAAACATTCTTACTTTTTTAAACCAGTTAACGCCCTTTTGACAACCAGAGGTGAATTTGCGGTGCTGCGATCGGCTCCTCTTTCAAGCTAAGGTGGATATGTTTATTTACTTTAATGTAAAACCCACGGAGCTTTCTAGCTTTCTGTCGCTGAATTTTAGAATACTGATCCACGCACAAACAAGTTGTGGATTAATCTGCTAGATATTAGAACTAAAATAAACAGGCTTTCTCTCCATCTGTGTACGCTGTGATTCCTTTGTGTGCGTTCCATAGCAATGTCTCGGGAGTTTAAAAAGTGACTACAGTGACATTGAGACGAAGTTAAGAGCTTTTGTTTGCAGATTTGCAGCATTTTCTCACCTAATTTATTTATTTGCGATGATGGTCTAGTTTTCCGACGAAATCACAACAGTTTTCGCAGTTCACTGTGCTATCATGGATTTATCGTGACAGTGTCTGGAAATAAAGATCTTTAGATAAAGCTTCTCCTATATACATTGCCATTTCAAAGTGTGTTGAAATATAGGTTGAACAGGTTGTTACAAAGTAAACCTGAAATGTATTTCACTGACGTCGGGACGAAAAGTACACATGAAAATGTTGGTCGTGCGTGTGTGTCGCGTTTGGCGCGTGCGGAACCTTTCTGCAAGTGGTGTAATGTGCTTTTGACAGTGAGCGATGAAAGCTTCCAGAATTGCCCAACACACGCTTCCGTTCCTGTGGCTAAGAGATCGGAAATGTGTTTATCCGTGGGCAGGCGACATCGACGACTTCAACAAATTACAATCACGACTGAATTCTTCCTGCGGCAGTGTCGAACGCAGCGCTTAAGGAATTTACTTAACAAATATTAGGTAACACGCGCAAATCGTTAAGTTGACAAAAGACTTGTGTCATTTTTCTCGAAAACTCTCGATTAACAATTTCCTGTTTATCTGGTGTTGTTTTCTCTGTTAATCGTAAGTTCAACGAGGAAAAAAATAACCGGGGTAGTTCAAGTGATGGGCAAGTTTCCACCATCTTTAACCTACCCACGGCTACGCCCCGTAGAACCCCGTCATTGTTTGTCACCCACACTCGAGATGACTTCATCACTCACGATGTTTTTCAGTCGACAATACACAGCACTGTCACGCCAAATTTAATAGTTTTAGTTGGGTTAATAAATTCCATGTGCTTTTCTGGCATCAATCCAATTGTTTTCGCTCTTTTCGCCCAGGTCAAGGCAAAGGCGATTTTTTCCTTGCCAACGATTGGTCATCACAGTAATTCTCGTGTGTTACAGCGGATGTCTTCTTCGGGTAAAGGATTTCAGACCAGCTCGCGTTTCGCTGGAAAATTCGCACATTCCTTCACATGAGCAACGGGATTATCTTGCAGAGTTTGTTTCAGCTCTCAATGCAGTGCAAAAGAAAGGCCATTGATTTAAATGACAATTGATCAATTAAATAAACCGTTTAAGTGTTTTCTATGGCGATAGAACCAACAATGCCATTGGCCTAGAAGTGTGAAATGTATCATGCCTATTGTGTTCAACCAATCAGCGGTTATTTATATCGGATTGTGATCCACCCAGCGTGTGTTTTGATTGGTCAATCGCGACCCTGTTGTCAGCCCAAGTTGTTTTGATGCGTGCACACGTGTCTTCCGCGATCAAGCTGACGTCCGCTAGAGACCATTGTTTTCATCAGATTTGGCGCGTAGCTCTGGGCTAGTTAGATTTCGGGTACCAGTACGCGTTTACGGTACTCACAGTTAGACGGTCTCGTGTACGAGAGGAAGTGTGCATTCGCGATCGCGACGGTGGCAGAAACCTTTGTTTGTGAGTGAAATTTCGCATGGAAGACTGTATATTTGGAAGGGATGATTTGAAGTGGAAACTTACGTTCATCTACGGCACGTGGTTTAATCTCTGCAAGGAATGGAGAAACCCACGGAACACGACAACGATGGTCAGATAAAGTACCATGAGACAAGATCGTGTGCTTGTGGCAAATCTACGTTTAATACGAACAACTTGTTATGTTTTTCTTTTGTGATTAATATTGTATTTGTTGTACTCTTTGTGCTTGTATTTATCCAACTGGAGAACGTACAATCGCGTTTGGCGAGACTCGAATCGCCTGCGAGTAGAAATGATCCAAGCAAAGTTATTGCTTCAGAGGGTTCAACTGTGCTTCAAGGAGAGAACTCGACTCCGTTTACTATAATCAAAGCAAATGTTACCAGTTCGCCGGGTCTTCTCAAGGTACGTGCAATTTCTCATTGCTAATGTTAGTATAAGTAACTTATGTAAAAAGCTTGATATAAGTGATGGGACATTTTTTTTTTTGAGCGTCCGCTTTGCGCGACCCGTGGTGTGCGATTACCCTCTTATCGCACACATTTTGACGTTTGTAATCGGAGTAATGCTCACTTGAAAAATATATTTTTTTGCGCGATTTACAGACCATGCCTGTGGTATCACATATTTCACGGAGAAGTACGTCGCCGACGGAGCCTCCAAAGAAAAAAGTTCCCAAACATTATAGAGACTACGTACAACATTACGTTAGACGGCAGGTAAAGAAGGATGGTGGGATTTTGAAGGAGGCGATAAAAATTGAAGTCAAGCTTCAATCGATCGGTCCTAATGGACGATCCGCGGACTGCCAATGCAAAGGTAAGATTTAAGTCTGTAAATTTTTGAGGGTTAAAATCTTCAAATCCTGTTTCACTCAGTTCCCTCGTTGCGACATCTGGTTCGCAGTGTCACCTCCGCGTGTCCGTCGATAGAATATTTCTTACTCTATGCGTGAAAGAATATTCCTCAATGAATGAATGAAATATTCCGTGTTTATCGCTTTCGGTTTTCATTCATTTCTCTGCATACATCAATGATATGAATCGCGATAGTCGACATAGTAATTGTGTAAATTATCCAATAATATTTGTCAGCCGGGTTGAGAGAGTAAACTAGCATAGTACTTAGCGAAATTAACTTAGTCAAGCGACTGCGAAATATTCACTGGGGTTGATTGAAGTCGTCTTTACAGTAAAATTATTCCACGCTGGTTGTTATAGCCCTGTCTTTTATTTACTATGGAACTAGCGAAGTAGAACCGAAAGCCATTGAATTGCATATTATGGTACATTGTGAATAGCGACCACCGAACGCCCCATCCATTCATTTTAAGAAGGTTTGCATCCAATGATAACGTACTATCGTCTAATTTTCCAAAAAAAGTTTTCCTTGCGGTGCAACTATGCTTAAAACGTCGGGTAAACATAACACACACCGGAGAACTGAGTGTTTTGGGACGAAATCAGATTAAAAATCTAAACATTACGTGCGCACTCTGCTCTGCAGATCTGGCTATCAATCTGCAATATAAGAACGTGGAGTCGAATAAAGCTCAAATTTGCTTTTTGCTGGATGCGGCAAAAATAAACAGTTGTTGCATAAGGAGGTATTTGAATCCTTAGAGCTCACTAGTTCGTGGCGATTTCAAGTTAAGTTGATTCTAGTCTAAAAGCATATGCACAACACTCACTGTCAGAGACATTTTCGCTGGTTACGTTGGCAAATAGTCTCCTTGTTCACATTTCCTGCAGCAAACGTTGAAGTCATTGGAAGCCGATTTAATTGACAACAATTGTCATAACACGCACTTTCCATTTCCTGTTAGAAGTGTATATTGTCCTTCGACTGATTTGTTTGGTGGCTTTCTTTCTTTTCGAAAAATACATTCAAGAAGCAGCGTTTGTACTTAGTTGAACACTGAATGCGCTAAATCGGATTCCTTTCGTAAACGCCTTCTCTCCTCCCTCATACCTCCTTTCAATCACTTTACTCGGATGACAGCTGGCATTTTTATAAACTTGAAGCGTTTTATTAAGCGTAGATTTCAATCATTTTATTATCTTAAAATCACTTCATTTAGATTCAGTTGAAGATAATGAGTTTAATTGTTGGTTGCAGAACAAAAAAACTGTATTAAAATGTAATGTGGCTGTTTAATATTTAATCTGACTGAAAGAAAATTACACCATATGCATATTTTGAGTCAAGCTTAACTCTTTCAGAATGTTTCCCGCAGTTGAGGAATCAATCTGTTTATACAATGTTACATTGTGGTTTTTTTGGCGGGGGAGGGAGGGGGATATATTTCCAAAGAGAAGAAAAAGTCACATAATGTTCAAAATGACAAGACAAAAAGTAAAGATCACTGACAAAAACTACCTTGAAAGCATTTTGGCTCTGTTTTCCTGTTACCCGTGCAATAAATAATTTTTTTTAAAGATGTTACCAGGAGCCTATAGGCTCCTGATGTTACCAAAAAGGTTTTCACCTGCTCTGATTTTGTTTCTCTGTTTTGCATTTTGTATACCCAATTATTTATTTGCTTTAGTGAAAAATGCCATTTTAGGATTGTTTGTGTTAACAATGAGAGCTACATATATGTTATTAGACATTTTTCATTGCAGCAAACTTAATTTTTTTTGTATAATACATATTTGTTTTTGTCAAATTTTTTTTCTTAACAATGAGACATTAATTCAAATTGTACAATTTTGCATGCATAATTAGACTAAACATTACAGTAGTTATAGACTTTTAAGGCAAGTCTGTATTGCCTGGCAGTTAATTTTGTGGTAGTTATCATGATGTATATTAGATGTCTATCACATGTGTATTAATCATCCAGGAGAATTTCAATAATTTGAAATCCCAATAATTCAATCATGTATTTAATCTGCTCATTTGACCGAAAGGTAGTTCTTCAATTGACAAGTCAGGTGATGGTTGTATAACTGCCCCTGCTAATTTGGTTTTGTGAGATTCTTGTATGCTCTAAGTATCTGACCTAGCAACTTAAGATCCCTCTAAATTTGGACTCTGACATGTAGAAAGTATAAAGATAGAATCCACCGGAAATCAAGTAGTTTTAATTTTCAGTCCAGACAAAACCTTGTACCAGAATAATTTAAGGAATATTGCATTCCTTTTTACATTTTTCATGGGCTAAAGATGTAGTAACACCAAAGAAAATTTCTCACAAGAATTGTGATTACACAGGTAAAATTCTGAAAATTTCATGTGTAAGATGTAATTTTGTGAAATTTGACATTCATTTTCTTGGACTCCCATAAGAAATTTTTTTTGGTGTTACTACAGATGATTTATTTCATCTTAAGCCCTTTAAAAATCTAGGAAGGAATGCAATTTGCTTTAAATTATTCTGGTACAAGATTTCTGTCCACTGAAAATCAAAATTACCCAATGTCCTTGTGGATTCTGTCTTAAGTATTACTCTCAAAGAAAATACAACATATACAAGAGATGTCTACAAAGGATGACAGTCTATTTTCTTTGGTTGTTTTCTATAAATTGGAGAGCTTCAAATAAAGAAGAGGACAAGCTATTTTTTCCTGCTTAAAGTAGTTAATTTCTACCAGTATATTGCTGCAGTTAAATGACAAGGAAAAACTCTGGATTTTAATTATTTATTTTATTTTATTTTTATCTCTTTTGTATTATTCCCCTAAAATAGTGTAGATGTTATATAGGTATTAGTATTGTTGTTTGGAAATTATTTTGTTAGGGAGGGGAGGGGGGGGGAATTGATATTCTCCTTACTCCTGGAACACGTAGTAGATTAACTACTTCTTGTTTGTTCTTTTGTCCTAAACCATGTCAAAAGGGTTGCAAGACACTTGTAAAATGTAACAGAGTTCCATAAAATATGTTTTTTTTCCCTTATAGAAAATTAAAAAAAAAACACTTTGCTGTTTTTTCATTTGAAATCAGCCGTGTCGGTCTGCTCATTATATGATAATTTTGCAATGTGTTTGTCTGGAGTAACAAAAGAAAGTAGTTAATGAATGCCACAAAATTGTAAGTAAAGGTTATCTTAAGAAATGATTAAACTACAGGTATGTAGGTCCTGCTAGTCAAGTTTTTGTCATTATGTACGACAAAAGGCTGTTGTTAGAAAACCATTCCTTTCTTTTGCTTAATTGACTCCGGAACACTAAAAAGTCATTCATGCCTTGGAGTTATATTCAAACACCGTGTCTGTCTAATTATTATTAAAATGAACCATTGCAAAGTTGTCTTGACTCTTTACAAACAGTTTAGGAAAAAAAGGAAAAATTATGTCAACATCAACACATAAATATATAACAACTAGAAACTAGCAGTTTGTAGTTGTCATAAATGTATACAGCTTTTTTATGAAAAATAATGGTTAATATGCATTTAAATTAGAAAACTATGACTAGGTTTTTTTGTTTCAAGTCTTTTGTATATCAATCATTACAAGCGTCAAATGAATTGCAACAGCTTATCTTTTGGTTTAAAATCAAACCTTGTTAGCATCTCTGTATTGGGACAGTTCCCATGGCAAGGCTGTACTCTAAGGAAAATTGAAGGGAGCCCAGTGCCCTGAAACTGTAAAATCTAGGGTGCCCAGCATATGATTTGTATGAAAAATCTAAGATTTTCTAGTCGCCCGAGAGCAAAAGTTAGGCGCCAGGGGCCACCGGGCTCTGCTAGAGCACAGCCCTGCATGGTCTGAGGGATGTTAAGTTTTATACAGTTCCTGTCTACCTTTAACATCTAGAAGGGGCTAGAGATGAAATTTGACTAAGTTTCCTAATTTCATTTTGCAAAATGCTGAAAACCAAGCAGTACCATGTGAAAGTACTGCTGAAGAAAATTTGTTTGAATGGTAAAAAACACCAAAGGATTTCACATACAGACTCCCGATCTAAAGTTAGAAGAATGATAAGTTATATGACTGCATTGCTTATCTTGGAAAGTGAAGTGGTTTAAGTGGACACAAAGCTCTGTCCCTTTTGTTTACACAGCAATGAGGATTGAGAGGATTGACTGTATTTTTGTATACGTGGATGCCTCCCAAAGAATTTGTTTCGAAATGTTTTGGCTAGCAAATGACATTTAAGTTTAAATGCCCAAACGGTCTTTCAGTAGGAAAGTGAAATCAGGAAGTTGTATGTCATAATCTCAAAAAGAAGCGTACTAAATTGGTACTTAGAAATATTTGACGTCGCGTTTTTTGTCGATCTCTGACTCGTTGTTGCCATTGTCATTACACAAGTTATAGACCAATGCTGTTTTTGTATTGTTTTCACAATTGTTGAAATTGACTAAAAAACCGTGAGGACATTCTTTTACTTATTTTCCCATCCACTGTTCTTGCTGTACATGATTGTTTTGATATCTGTCACTTTTTATACTAAACCTGACAAAACTACTAAGGAGCCTGAATCCCCCAAGTGTTGTAGAAAATTGTTTGATGGTGGTTTCTTGGTTTTTGTGAAGAGGCAGCTGACCTTTTGGCTTACTTTTTCAAGTCTAAGTATTGGAGTGAAAAAGAGCAGCATTTTTTGTTGACATTCTGCATAATAAAATTAGAACTCAAGCTTATTTCAAGTATTATGTACCTTGTTACATGTTTATATCACAAAATGATGTTCACATTTAGCTCTAAACCACAGCAAATTGTTATTTAATAACCGAGAACGTATTCAGGAAGTATGAGTCATAATGTTATATATAATTTAGAGACAAAACATTTTTATGCTTTGTCTATGAATAAGTGTTGAAAAGACTAGATCACTTCCTGGCTTTGTTATTAAAATATTGGTTGTCTTGCATTATTAGAATAATATGATTTTAAAATATATTTTAGTCAGCTGGTTGAAAGGGTTTTTATATTGGTTGATTTATTTTAGTGTTTCATCAGTTCAGTATTGTGTGTTAACCTAGTGACCAACATCAATTTTCTCCTAACAATGTCCATAGTTTTTACATAGTCAAGAGATAAGGTTATGAGAATTAACAACATGATCACCCAAGAGAAAATGCCTTGATCTTTTGTTTAATTCTAAAAGGAAATGTGTAGGAGGGGGGCATTGGGATTTTCAGTTTTGCGGTTTTGGCTGTTTTTTAGATCGGTTTTTCAGTTTTTGTTGCAAAAGACTTCGGTTTTTCGGTTTTGGTGGTCATTGCGGTTTGCGGATTTTTCGTTTTTTAGCATCTGGTTTTCGGTTTTCGTGAAAAATACTAGCGGTTTTTCGGTTTTGGTACCCGATGTGGTTTTTGGTTTTTCTTATTTTGTCCTATTTTGGGTTGCGGTTTCTGTTCGATCTGAGCAGCACTTAATCTCGAATAGCCGCGAAACGCCAAAGTTATTTAGAGGAATGCGTGACAAAATAAATGTCATGGTGGATCAAGCGTCTCCCTTGACGCCCGGCGAGCCTTTGACCTCGCAGACCAGAGCGACCATTTGGTCAGTTTGCGAGCTATGGCTTCCAACGTGCCTCCCGTGCCAGCAACGGAAGAAGTAATTGTGGATTGTGTTGCGTTTTTTTTACGAGGGGGGGAGTTATCAAATGGTAGTGTTCAATTAGAGATTTTCGATTGAAGTTTCCAGAGCTATAGCTTTTTGAGACTGCAAAATTGCATTTTAAAAGAGGACTTGTGTGCAAATTCTCCTAAGTTAACTAGGCTCCATAACTAGCAGCTTTTCCAGAGAACCGCCGAAACAAAGCCTATGATTTAAGCAGACGCAAAAAGATACGAAGGCTTCAGACAAAGTCCATGACATTCACAAATACTTTGGTGAAATTAGTGTTAGTTTCGTTTGCTCTGTATGCCCCACTTGTCACCATTGTATCGGTTTTTGACGGTTTTGTATGCGGTTTTCGGTTTTGGCCGAATTTTTTTGCGGTTTTGCGGTTTTGGATGATTTTTTTCTTCGGTTTTGCGGTTTCTAATATACCCCAATGCCCCCCTCGTGTAGAGATCAGTTTGGAGAATTTGAATACAGGTGGATATTGGGGCTTTAAGGGTGAATAAAGAGTGCAATCGCCAAGTGACTAAATAAAAGAGATTGAAAAGACACTGAGCAATACCTGCACCATGGCACAAAAGTGAACCAGCTATGGTTTCCGCAACGTCATGAAACATCCATAAAAACGTATTGTGTATCTTTTCACATAGCAGGACAGTGTAGATTGTATTCCGAAGTCTTTAAAAGTTCTTTTAACATTTAGGTCTTCGTTCAAAATCCTGTAGACCCTTCAAATAAAACTGCGTTGGCAGTAATTTCACATTGTACTTACTGTCAAGGTACCATGTGAACACAACACTTAACACACTGAGGCCAGCAGTGTGCTCATTTTTACACCTGCTCTCTATCAGTGCTCCTTTTTGCCGGTATTTGTAGCTACTCAAAGCTACCCGGGAAGGAAAGAAGTCAAAACTAGTTTTTGAGACCATAGTTGGGAACTGAGCTGAAAACCTCCTACACAGAAGGCTACAAACTTACCAACTGTGGTAATCCTTGTCCCCAAATAATTGTTGAATTGTTGCTTAATTTTAACTTTTGCTTTTAACATTTTCTGTTATTTCCATTGTTTGGTCTCTGATTGTTGGAATTTATTGTGTCAAGAAGTAGGGTCTCGAGTCTTTCTTCCCTTGGCGTTATCTGTACAAGATAGACGGCCTCAGCCGTGAATGTCCAAATTAGGGAGATCCAATGCCTGGCACCAGTTTTGAGACCCAACAGTGTGAGTTATGGCATAAGGTGCTTCTTTAAAAACATCTGTCACTTGTTCCTATGACTTGTAAACCTGATCAGGAGGCAGACCAGGGGTGCTTACCATTTGACAGAAAAAAACAGAAATTCCGAATGGACGGTAAATGGTAAGGTCGCTTTTCGGAAATTCCAGCTGAAAATTGAGGATTATGTCTTGAGGTTGTCTGTTCATTCTGGTTTGCACAAACCAAACGGAAATGTTGCTTACCATTAATTTACCAATTTTTTTGGTTCCTGCTTGGTTCCACACTCATGGTGCAAAAATTCGCGCCTTGTTGGATTCAAACCATAACGGATGTGCTAATCGCTTACCATTATGGTTTTGACACCCCAACCAGATTTTTCTATCAAAAGGTAAGCGCCCCAGGTACTCCACCCTACCCACAGGAAGAAATGAAATTCTTAACATTAACATTTTCCACTTGTGGCCATGCAAAAAGTGAGGAAAAGTGGAGCCTTACTTTAAGAAAGATACATGTTTGGTTACTTGAATGAAAACAAAAGGGTTTCAAAAGAACCTGGTGGGTGCTTTGTCTGTGAGGTTGGGGGTGAACCACAGAAAGTTAGTTTTATCAACAGAGTCAAAAAAGTCAACTTGCTACCTTACATAGATTCAACAGCTGATGTTTTAAGCATTCATTTGAAATGCAGGCCATAGTTAAAAACAATCTGTGGATCTTAAGATCTGTTTAAATTGGTTTATTTTTGAGTATACATAGATGAATGGGCATGTATTTTTAGTATCTGCTCCATAACAAATTTCTCTTGCCACTGTCCACAAGAAACTATGGCGTGGCCAAATTGAAAGTGGCTGAAAGGTTGGTTGACTGTTCAAAGATGGTCTTAGAATGTTACTTTCTGCCATTGCTGCACTTGATCACTTAGTTTGGCTAAAAGTCCTCCTTTAATGAGTGAAACTTCTGGTGTTAAAAAAGGAAAATTTGTCAGAAACCAACTTTTCTTCTTCACACATGCCCTTTGCATGGCTTTTATGTAAATTATATTCACATTATTGACAGTAATTATAACAATGGGGAAATTTTGTTAAGCAAAGAATTTCGTCTGCAAAATAGCCTTCTCTGACATAGAAATCCATACGTGCAGAACAGTTGCTCAACTTGTTTATTTTTGGTCGGATGAACAAATCACGCAAGTGAATGATCAGTCCAATGAAATATACTGAGCAGTGTTATTCAGGATGAACTTTCTGGTGAGGCACAGATCACACTATCTAGCCTTCTCACTCAACACAGTTGTCAACATCCTCTTGATATGTATTCGACAAAGTGTGTAATGTCTTTTATGGGTTCCATATGATGTAAAACCAGTCAAATCCAATTTTCTTTCAGAGGGCAGAGTTGTGGGGTGGAAAGATCTCTTTTCCTTTGCTTTGCAGTTGCATAACTTTCTGTCAAAGAAGGTGAATTTTGACTTGGTCTGTATCATGTAGAACTTGTAACAGTTCCCAAAAAGTTGTCAATGACTTAAGTTTTTGTCAAGGATATAAACTGCATTTGTCTTTGAGAAAACTGTGCAAAAAAAATAATAAAGGTACTTTCCTATGGCTGTTTCCTTTCTTTCACCTTTAGCCAAAGAACTTCAGTTTTTTGGAAGGCGCAAAAGAGAAAAAGATGATTACGACGGAATCCACCAGGACATTGAGTAATTTTGATTTTCAGTGGTCAAAAATCTTGTTCCAGAATAATTTAAAGCATATTGCATTCTTTGGTACATTTTTTAAGGGCTAAAGATGTAATAAAATAATCATGTATACTAACACCAAAAAAAATTCTCATGTGAACCCAAGAAAATGAATGTAAGATTTCACAAAGTTATCATCTTACACATGAAATTTTCAGAGTTTTGCCTATGTAATCACAATTCTTGTGAAATTTAAATTTTCATTTTGTTGGACTTCCATGTGAAATTTTCTTTGGTGTTACTACAGATGATTTATTACATCTTTAGCCCTTGGAAAATGTAGAAAAGAATGCAAAATTCTGTAATATTATTATTATTATTATTATTATTATTATTATTTTCTGTCCACTTTAAATTTACTTTACTCAATTTCCTAGTGGATTCCATCTTCATTTCTAGTCAGGTAACTGAAGAATAATGAAAATTAATTTTTGACATTCCTGAGAGCAATGAATTAGTGGAACATATGAAAATATTTAATAAAAAATAATTAATTGGATTAGCTGCCGAAAGGTGATGCTTGTGAGGAAGTTATTTTCAACTCTTGTTGACAGCAAAGAAGGGGGTTTAGCTTTTTTGTGTTTGGATTATAAAATTATACTTATTGTAGCAGTTGAATTATAAAATTATATTTATTGTAGCAGTTGAAAATCCAAGTGTGTACTTTCCTTATTTATAATGTGTTATGTTAATAAGCATTAAAGGATTCCCTTTCTCGTTATTGGCTTAAAACCTACTTAACTCAATTAGAGGTATTATAAATTGAGACACATCCTTGTAATTTAATTGAAGTTCTTAAATAAAAGAATGACTTAAGGATAATATTTTGGACCATTTTAAGGCATTTTAAGGTGTCAAGCTGCGTGGCAAAGAAAGTTATATGTTAAAACTGAGTTATGTTACGTAATATTATTTAAAGAGTCCCAGTTTTCATTTTGGTTTGTTCGTTTTTGTTGATTGTTTTTTTTTTAATTTTGGACTGAAAATTAATGCTTTGTTACAGTTGCAGTTGTAATTTTTTTTATTAATTCATGCAGTTGTTTTGTTAACTACAGATGTTTGTATTTATTGATGGAAGGAGTGTCATGAAAAGACAAGATTATGTAAGAGGTTAAGCAATGCAATTTGTCATCTCAGGGCTTTTGATTTCATGATACAAAACATCCTCATATATATGTCGATGATAATAAAGTAAAACTCTCTAGACAATTTTAAAAATTGAATGAAATGGAAGAGTTAATGATTGTTTAGAACATGCTACTTCCTTAGAATAAAAAGGAAACAAAGAGTGTTAATCCAAGGTACATCTACCAGAAACAAACAGCTGTTTGCAAATGTCCACACCTATTTCCGGATGGGAGAATGATGCAATCATCAATCATGGATAAAAGGAATTGCATACATGATAAAAATGTTTTGGCGATTTTTATTGTGCCTCATTGTTTAACTTTTCCCCGTGCTTAATAGCTTGAGAGACTTGTTTTAACTCTTTAAGTTCCACATACTAATTCTCCAGACTGATCTCCATTTATTTCCATAAGAAGTAGTCAAGAGAATTGGTTAAATGATCATTTAGCATTTTCCCTTTGGTGATCATTTTGTAAATTCCTATAGCCTTTTCTTGTGATGCAGGTTCAGAAAAAAAATTTGAACTTCATTGGACAAGTGAGGTTCTAGTTGTATATGCCCAAAGCTCAGGTCTAGTTGTCCTTGCATGTTGAGTTAAATCTGAGTTCTAATGATGCATGGTAATGGATAAGAAGCATGAACCCATTTATTGTTGGAACGAACAGATAAAACATACAGCATTTTAAGTGTCAACAAAGTAGTCATGCAAGTAATTGTATGCTTATATACTTTGTTGTCATTCACATCGTGTACTACCCGGCAGAGGAAGTTTTCTTTCCTAGATTCCTAAAACTTTCGAACTCGTACCGTTAGGCTGTCACAATGTTTCTTTTAATCACTCCAGTGTATTCTGCGGAAGGATTTCCTTTCCTTTCCACCAAAATAGCCTGTAATACTTCGCTGAGCCACCATTGTGTACGAGGTAACAGTTACCAGGAGGGTCTATTATAAATGCTAAAGTCCATCCCCCCACGAGTCCCATGCCCCTTTCAGAGCGCAATGAAATAAAATGGAAGATAGATGGTAAGTCACCTGCATCAGTGCTGTTCTCTTTTCATTTCAAACTTGTAAGTTGCTTTTACGAAAAGCGACCTGTTTTATGTTTCCAAAAACCTGGTTGTATACTTTGTGTTTGCTGAAACATATTAAAAGCACCTTTTTATTTAAAATATTTTCTGAGGATTTACTTGTCCAAAGGACAAGTAAGGTTGATGACCTGCTTGTCCACTGATCAAAACCACTTGTCTGGGACAAGTAGACACTGTTTTTGTGTCATCCTGTCAGGTGGTGTTAATATTGTAAGGAGAGAATTGTTGCTGTTGTCCACTGAAGCCTTATCGTCATGTTTTCATGTTTGCTTTATACTGGAGAGGAATACAGGAAACAGCTTTTTCATTTAGGAAGTAAAAGTTCTGCAAAACTCAGGATTTGCTCTGCTTGCAATTAAATTATGAACCCACAGTAGATTTCAGAGATTTTATATTTTATCCTTTGCTTGAGACTGAGCAAGTAAATGTCTTGATAAAGCTTAGTAGAACTTGTTGACCGAAGCATAGAGTACCTTTTTTAGCATGGAAATATAAATTGCAGTCAAGCACAGTGAGAGTGAAATTTTCTTCTGAATGTTATTACATTTTTCCTTGTGTATGTAGTTAGATGACAGAAGAAATTTGATTTTGACCAACCCATCTTTGTGTTCCTATAACATTTTCATGTCATCTGTGATCTGTGACACAGACATATGACATGTTTGGAACTTTTTTGTCAATGCCTTCTCCTAGACAGTGCTGACAGTAAAAGATTTCCAAAAACATCAATTTTCGTAAATCGTATGATTTAAAAAGTACCATGCAAAATTTTTACGAAAGAGATTTCATTTAAATGGTAACACACCTGTTAGATTTAGTGTACAGATGCAAAGTTTTGGAATAACAATTCATCATCTTAGTCTTAGTTAGTGAAAGGATAAGTAGATATAAATGCACTTTGATTAAGTCTAAGGTAATGCTGAGGTTTGTTTTTCTTATCTTGTGCATTCCTTATTCAAAATAGAAACAAGGATTATCTGTTAATTTGTTGTTTTACTGCTAAGTCTGTCTGATCTGCAATATCATCAGTGAGTGTTATGTCCAAAATGTCATTTTCCCACAAGAAAATTTAGGATCCATTTTTATTAAATTAGGGTAAAATTTCAGGATAAGGTTCTTTGATCTCAAATCAGTGAACGGTTTTGGAATTTTCATTGATTATGCATAGTTATTTTGGTGAAAAGCTGATGTAAAAGTTAATTAGTCAACCTCTGAAGTCTTAAAAGTAGGAATATATTACTTTTGTGGTATTCCGTTACATCACATTAATTGTCCCTGTTTCTCACTAACTTGGTACATGCAAGGGCTGTCATTGTTACCAGAGTTTGTTATATCAATTAATATTATTTGCTGTGATGGTGGATGGCTGCTATTGTGGCTGCCATGTCTTCCTTTTGTCCATTCTTGGTGGAGCCTGAGCATCATGTATAATAAGTGTATGTGCCTTCACATTGGAAGCCACTTTCCTGCATTTTGGATTGATGCAGATGTTGTGCAGGGCTGTCAGAGGCGGGGTCCAGGGTTTTTCCCCAGCTACTAGGAATGTGGCTCCAGGCTACTTTCATTGGAAAATAGAAGAAAAATATAACCAAAAGAAATCCCAGCTGTTTCATTCCCCACGTAGTTGTTGAAATCTTAGTGACATCCCTGTTGTGGCTCAGTTTTATCCTCGGTTTAAATTTTGTTTTCCTTTGTTTCAAACTCATTATCATACATTACCACACCCCAAAACAAAGGAAAATAAAATGTAAACCAAATATAAAATTGAACTACAACACACCTGTCAGCAAAGTGTCCCCATTTTTTCTAAGCAGAGTGAATGAGAATTAATGACCACTGCGAGTGAACTTGAATGATCATAGCCTGAGAATACACCTGACATGTTGGCAACATCACTAGTTCCCTCACGAAATGAGATCTACTCTGAGAAATAATAGCAGATAATCCATACTGCTGACGTGTCACTTCCCACATCTCTGTAGTGCTTCCAATTGGTTGTTTTTCCTTCCTACTACTTTATTATGGAAGTTGTAAAACTCAATGTCAAGGTTATTATGGTTGATTGATATATTTTCATTTTGTAGGTGCTACTGGAGCTGAGGGCCCAAAAGGTTAGAAATTGATTGCACTGTGTACATTATTAGGGAATGTTTAGAACTCTTGATTGCATTAAAAGATACTGAGCAACACCAGTATTTTCCATCAGAGGTATCGTTTTTATGTCATACATCAGGTGACTTTAACTCTTGATTCTGTGAATAAAATTTTTAGTGAGACATACCTAAGCGAGGAACTTTTTGCCATTTGGCTGGTCACTTCGTCAACATTATGTAAGAGAGGTTTCATAAAATTTTTGAAGATTGTCAGCAGCTGTAACCAGAGCCCACAATCGTAATCTCCAGGTTGCTTTTACACATGTGCAGCAAGTATGTAGCAGCAGCATTTACTCGCGCGAGTTTTGAATTTCTTTCATGTGAAACTTGCTTGGAGCATAGCATTGGAGCCAGAGCGTTTTGACTTAGTGGGCACTCCTAACCTTTGGTTATTACTAGTCATATCAGTTAATGTTCTGTGCACCTTGATCTTCTTGTCTTCAGGAAAGAGAGGACCGGTGGGTCCGCAAGGCCCACAAGGCCCGCCAGGACCCATGGGTAACCCTGGTGAGTACTGGTTAATGATTCTTTTTAGCTCACAAAATTCTCACAGAAAAGATCAGTTTGAAGTCCTTGCTACAATCCTGGACATAAGTCCTTGGAACAGTGATATTTGTAATCATCTCTTTATTTCTCATGATGCCCTTATTAACAGTGCAACCTTGTTCGAAAATACCTTGCTCCATCTTATTTGTTGAAATGGGGAAAAATTCTGGATACATGCATCCAACATTAATCATGGTGTGAGGGGAGGGGTTGGGCAGGTGTGATTTAAAAGGCACTACAAAAGCAAATTGGTCCCATTACTTTAGTCCAAGACTGTATTACGTATATAAGATTGATGCATCATTTTATCTTATTTTTTGCTAATATAAAACCTGTTGATGAAAGGGCAATTTCGTGCCATAATATGTTGTAAGTTAACACTGCAGAAATCAAAAAAAGGAGATTTGCAAGAATTGAAAAATGGGGGCTCTCTTCCAAGAAGGGGTCGAACACTTACGTTAGGATAGGAAATTAATTTTGGTCCATGCAAATTCTAAATTACAATATGTGTAGTTCCGTGTTGTTCTAAGTAACACATTTCATAGAGTGGACATACAGATCTTGCGTAAAGTGGTCGACACCTTCAAGAGGTTAAAAAGTTCAGCCCTAAAAAGTTGTTGTGGTCACTTAAGGAGGTGGTCTTTTACGAGTGGTTCCAACTGTAAGGTAAGGGGAGGGGGGAGGGGTGCGGTCATCCAGACCCTGAGAAAAGGGGGGGCAGTCTCCCAAAAAATTTTTTTTTGGCCCTTTGAGCCTCAGTTTGGTCTAAAAATAGGGGGGGTGCCCCCGGGCCCATCCCCTGGATCTGCCACTGGACTGGGATAATTTACTGTATTTAAACTCATTTGTTTTCTGTTTCCTCTAAGGTAACCATGGGATGCAGGGTCATCCAGGAGCGCGAGGTATAGGAAAAAGCTTCTGTTATTCTTACTGACTAAAAGAATTAATACATTAACTATTGATTGATATTATTGGCCACTTGTGTGGAATTATCTGACTTGTACCACTTGTGTCGTCATGAAAAACAAAAAATAAAAGTCAAGGAGCAATGGGCAAAAAAGAATCGAAATTGCCCTGTTTGTTTATACCCAACCTTCGGAAGTTACAATTTGTCACCAGAAACAAAATCCATAGGTGTACATGGCTTATAATAAACAATATTTTGAACACCTTTTTTTGGTTCTCCTTTTTTGGGGGGGGAGGGGGGGTGGGAGGGTGAGAGGGTGAGGACAGGGAAGAGTGGGGACAGGGTAGGACAGGGGAGAGGGTGTTAGAGGCAGAGGTGACCCAATTTGCTTGTACCATGTCCTTCATCCTTCTCATTATTAGGCATATTTTTCATGTCTTTTCCATTTACTTTTTTTTGTGTTCTTAAAAATTTAATGAAAAGTATTATATTTGTTCCTTTGTTTTGCCCGCATCACTGAGTGTTTCCCCTTTGTAGTTCAACAAAACAAGGAAGAGATTAAAAGCTAGAGATTGTTCTTAGAGCAAAATACAGATTGCAAGCAAAATGTAAAGGAAAAATCAGCAAATAAATCTACTTACCCCTTTACCTTGAATCAGTAGTCAAATATTGATACTTGTGGCCATGTCTTTCTTGCAGGTGTACCTGGCCCAAAAGGAGATAGAGGCCCCAAAGGTGATCCTGGGATTGCCATAAAGGGAGACCAAGGTAACATACATGTACATCAAAGGTTCAAGTTTACAGGTGAATGGTGTCAGTCGGTTAGCAAGGGTCGTGCAGTGGAGAGAGCACTTTATTTCCCTTTAAGTGGCTTGGTCTCAATTTATGGAGACGACACCTTATGTTGGTCAAGTTTGTTGTTGGTTCTTGTTATTTTCCTCCCAGTATTCTGGTTTTTACCTCCCCTCAAATAGCAATATTTCATTCATCATGCAAATTCTACTTAGATCAGGGATATGGTAGATGAATAGCCACTCTGTTGTCTTTTTTCCATCAAAATCAATTTAGACTCTCCATTTATAACTTTAAGGTTCACAAGGCATGGTCTCTGTGACATGGTCTTGAAAGCCCAAGAATAGCCTAAAGCAGGGTTGTCAGGAAGTTTTGAGGTAAACGGCTGAGTTGTCAAAGTAAGCGGCCAGTCCAGGGATATTTTATTTAAAAAACGCCATCCGTAAAGAAATGCCTAGCAGAGTAGCCGGCCAATACTAACCAAGTAGACCGTGATTTTCACCGGCAGCGGGCTACTTTTGACAACCCTGCTGTAGGTTTTGCAATCTTGTGATCGACATGAGGAGTGTCTCTCTCATCCTTTACTTTAGTTTGCAACATTTTTGTGCTTGGTTTTAGGTATCCAAGGTTTGCCTGGTAAAAGAGGTCCCGAGGGGAAGCCAGGTGATCAGGGGCCAAGAGGGGAAAGAGGAGAAAGAGGGCCTAAGGGAGAGAAAGGGGATATGGGCTCACTAGAGGTAAGAGACAGACACTAACAGTTAGCTTAAATTCATTATGGGCGAATTTTTGCTGATGTCATTGTTTACATTTTTCCTCATTAGCACACGACTTAACTCAGCAATACCGTGTCCATATATACGGACTAAATTCAAAAGTTGAAAGAGCCACTTGTGCAATTTTCAGCTTACACTGCACGAAAAATTAGATTTTCACAAATTTGTTTGGGGCAAATGTGGTGCAAAAAAGTGCAAAAGATGAGGAAGATGGTAAATACTGCATTTGCTTACCAGTTTTTATGAAGTTGTAAATTCAAGGGCAAATGTGGTAATTACCATCTTTGTCATTGATTTAACCGTAGTTTGCACTTTTTTGCACCATATTTGCAATGAGTCAATTTAGTGTAGATCAAATTTTTTGTGCAGTGTTACTGCAAGCAATATGAAAGGAAATATCACCCATCTAAAACTGCGAAATTGCTGGGTGGCAAAAAAGTTAATGAGCCATACATTCTTTGTAAAATGTCTAGTTTTAAAAGAGAATTTCTCCGAAACCATTCAGTATATCGGGCTCAAATTTTCAGAGATAACTGAAATGCTCTTTCAATATTCAGAGGTTTTATTTTATTAGCTTCATCAGATAATGGTGATCATATGTTAATGAGGCAGAAAATATAAACAAAGATTCGCCTGTAACCAACAATAGGCATGGAACACAATCAAATGAGTGTCTCGGGTAAAGAGCCTTGTGACTTTAGATTAACGATGAACCTCTAGATTCTCCTTTCAAGTTGCCCTATGTTTGCTTGTTAAAAGGGGGAGAATTTGACTCAAGGTTTGAGAGTCATTAAGGGTCTGTTGATTAGCATGACACCGTTCTCTGGGAAATGTCAGATCATAGCTGTTTCGGGAGGGGGAGGTGAATGGGTAAATATCTTGGTCCATGTTAGAGGAAATTATTCATGTACAAATGCACACAGCAATTTACCGGCAACTTTGGCCTGTAATTCAGGATGGATATTGGGAGTCTACACCCTCTTAAATAAACACTCGTGCATGTACTCTAGTTGACTCATCATCAATTTTTCCTAAATCGTCTATTGGGATTTGCTACCTAGAAATGCTGCAGTTTTTACTGTATGACATCTGCTGTTTTCTTTATATTGTTGCTTTTGTTTTCAGTCTATAGTGAGACCTTCCGCCCATATCACTGGGCACAGCAGATACACCCAAAACTCTCCAAGATCAGGTAAGATTTCCTTTTAAAAATATCAGCATCTTCTTGTCTTCTGCTTAGCTTGTTGTATTGTTTTGGTGAATGATTAAATGCTGCTGGTCACAATAATTTAAAAAGTGATACCAAAAGTTAATTCAGATGTTCCTGTCCAAAGCGGTATAAAGTTACAGTCGAACAGGGCTTGTTTAATAAACAGTGTAACAGGACATAGAAGAGATATCTTTGGAAGTCATTTCTTTAATTTTTATCATCTAAATAGGCCATAAAATGTACATTCAGGTGACTGGAAATTGCTCATAAGATTTGCTGGTAAAATTACTTTAAAGATTTTCTAGCCTTTACAAAATAATGAGGCATTTTGAAGACATTTTCGTACCTATCAATATGACAACTTTTTTTAACACTTCGGAGCAGAGGGCCTCAACCAAAGTGGTTGACACTTTGGTTTCTGTGCTCTCTCTTTTGACAGGCTTTTTAACTGGTTGGAGAGCTCCACTGCTCCGAGGGGGGATGTTATTTGGACGAGGACGTCTCACAGTCCCTAAACCAGGAGTGTATTTTGTTTATAGTCAAATTTATTATACAACTAGCTCTGCTAAAAGCTTGTCTTACTATGTTTGTGTAAATGGCTTTGTCAAGACTATGGGTATTCACCCTGGAAACCGGTCTTTTTATACCATCTCTCATGGTTTCTTGGTGTTGTTGAATGCTTCGGATGTTATAACTGTTAAGCTTGGCCACAATGATTTCAGCGCTAATCTTATAGAAAAGGGAAGTTTTTTTGGAGCTTTTTTAATATGAAACTGTATCCATAAAAAAAGCTTTGCGTAAACCGTTTTTTATTCTTTTGTCGTTGTTACATTAGTTAGGATATAAAGATGCCAGAAAAACCATTTTAAGTGCATTCATATTTGTAAAAACTCGATCCAAATGTGTGCTACTTCAAGGGAAATTATAGCTCAGAGTAGGACAAAAATTTAAAAAGTAAACAGTAAGGTCATATGAATAGCTCATAGTAAGGCAAATATTTTTTTCAAATTTATATTTAGAGCTGTGTTGTGAAAATTACAGTGAAAGTAAAAGAAATCATTAAATTATTATTTTTTGACAAAGGTTTTTGTAGAAAAACTTGGTGCATATGGCACACTAAATATAGGATACATTGTACTGGTGCTCTAGAGAAAAAAGGGGGTGTACAAACAACGACATAAGTTAAAACTAATGATTTATTTTAGCAATTAGTGAATGAGGCTGAGTAGGATATGAAGAATTATGCAGATTGAGGAGGGTGTTATTGGCCAAGGTGGACAACACCATCCAAGATCAACATAATTCTTTATATCCTACGAAAGCTGAATTTATTAATTGCTTTATTATTCATTCAAAATAATTCCTAATTTAAAAACAAGCTTAAACAAGCTTAAACATGCTTACCTTCGTGGATGTTAAGTTCACCTTGATAGTGCATGTTTAGAAGAGTAAGGGCCGTGCTGGTCTGCAAATATACTCCAAATAGCAGATGTTGTCGGTCGAGTTGTCTTCTTGCTATGTTTTTAGACAATGGTTCATTTCGTGAAACGAGTAAAATGTTCCGCTGACTGTTCGGCCATTTTTCTTTTCACAACCAAAACTCATGCAACCTCGTCCCCAGGTCTTTTCGGTTAACAGTGCACTAACTTGCAACTGTGCTCCACTTTTGACGTCATCGGTTCATTAATCGCAGAATTCCTTTAAACTTGGTCAACAGTAGCTGGTCATGGTGAATTACAACTAGTAAATGCATGTGCTTTTAGCCAATCAGAAATGGAGAAATATTTTGAATGAATAATGATGTAAATTAATACTGTCTTAAATGAACACAGGGGTTATTAACTTATCTATTGAAGGGGATTCATCATAAAATGATGATATATAAAAACAATATGATTAATTTTTGCTATAATAATAGTTATTAATGAATGTAAAAATTTTTTTAAGTTATTGAAGATCAGTTATTTTTTATGATTAAATATTTTGAAGAAAATTTTATACACCAATTAATTTGTGGCAACTAATAGCTAGATGAAAGATGTATTAAGAGTATGTAAAAGTTTCTTCTGGAATACTGGTTTTTTGAAATGTAAATGCTGTAGAATATCTTTAGTATATAATGATATAGTAATTCTTGGTGTGAAGTTAATAATATTATATGGTAAAGCAAAACACAGTTTTTTTTCCTATTTCTTATGCCTGAAGTATTCTAAGTAAGACCCCTTCCAATTATTGAACAATATGACTTAAGTGAGGAGGTCTGATGTGCCTATCTTGCGATTGTATGGTTCCGTCACATTGTTGCTCACCGTGCAGTTCTAACCCAGGGCTTTCACTAATGTTTCAAGTTGCCGGCTATATGCAATAAGTCGGTGGGGCATTGAACAGCTTGGAAGTTCTTTCTTTTTTTGCTTCCTTTGAAAGTAACCAGGGGTCATGCTCATTGTAACCAAGGGAAAATCCCTAGCCCCCAGCTCTTAGTTACAGTGGTGGATGGTAGTGACATATTGCAGAGAGGAACCTAATAATAGACTGACAGCCCATCTTGGAGTGGGGCCAGAAGGAGTTGCATAGCAGTGATACCCTTACATTCTTCATGATACATGTACGAAGACCAGGATAAGCGCTCTCTCTCTAAGTTACAAGTGTAGATGGCCACACTTGTAAAGTACATGTACGTTTGTAAAAGTTTTATGAAATTGGCTTACATGTACCGGTATACTGTGTGAGGCTCAATGCTTAAATGTATACTTAGGTGTATGTTTTAATACTCATAAGTTGAGTTAAAATGCACAGGCAGATATTTGTACCATTCACAAGAATTGTTTGTTCCAGGAATTCTCAGAGACTGGGAAAACAGCTATGGGCTTGCCCATTCATCTGGTGGCATGCAATATGAAAATGGTGAGCTGGTCATCCCGACAACTGGACGGTACTACGTGTATAGCCAGCTGTACTTTCAAGTGCAGGACAATTCAAAAAATTATATGATACACTTGGTGCAGCGAAATAGAACTGGAACTCTGGAAGTAATGATGAGAAGTATCGCATCAAGGTACAGGAAAGCACAGACATTCTTGTTCAGTAGTTATCAAGGTGGCGTATTTGAGCTGCAAAGTGGAGACCATCTTTTGATTGCCGTGTCAGAGGACAGTACACATCAAATATCAACCTATGGGTCTGCAACCTTCTTTGGAGCCTTCTTGGTATAAAATGAAATCTATTTACTCTAGAGTTATATATATATAGATGTCATATATATATAAAATATATTTGATGTAGTAATTATTAGGAAGGCCAAACAGAAGAGCACTGTGGTTGACCCCAGTTTTATGGATGAATGGGAATGCTGTAGTTTCAAGGTCCTTTCATGCAGATGACAACCGTTATCACTTATCGAATATTACCTGTTTCACAGGTATGACTGTTATTCCTGCTAATAAGCAACTGACTGAATTGAATGAACATAATGCTGTAGTTGCCCACAGTGTTATTTGTTTGGTACATCCAATAAATCATGCAGCATTCATGTTCATGATTAAGTGCACTTAATAGGTTTTTGAGGAAATTTACATGTACACTAACCAGCACTTTGCGTTGCACTGAGGCTAATAAGCCTTTGCTTTCATTCACTGGCACCCTGCACAACAGGCTGGTAGGCCTGTGCCTTCACTCGCTGACACCTTACACAGGCTGATAAGCCTGTGCTTATGTTAATGTACTAACTGACACAGCACATTACCAACCATTTTGGGTTGTAAGTAAACCATAATATCTGTCCAAACTGGAAGTAAATACCCGGGGTAAACTGGTAAACAGTTGTGTGTATTATAAGAATGATCAACTGCATCAGTAATGTTTCAAAAGCCTTCTCTGTGAAGTTCTTTTCATCTAAAACCCTATTTTACAAGAGGTTAATGCAGTCACTGAATTAGATATACCTGCTGAGTGACACTGTGCAATGGTATAGCATCCCTGCTGGGCAGGAGATAGGAGGAAGGGGGGAGACGGGAGGAGGGACTGTGATGTCTCAAGTCATTTCTAACATGCACAATAGGAGCATCATAAGGAAATTCTGTGAGGTAGAAATGATTAGAGCAGTACCTGCAAAGGAAGGGGACACACATGTATTCCAGACAAGTCCTTTACCCTTGTATATGTTGGTGGTCAAAATTAAATTCAGGTTGAAATTTTTTAACCTAATTTTTCTTTGCCTCTTAGCCCTAATTTTTACTCTATTCTTTGTTTGTGTGGGAAGGTTTCTGAGGAACAAGCCGTAACATTATGATTGGGTCTCCAAAGTTTTGTTTTCATGTGTCAAATGTCTAGGAATTGTACCAACATAGTGTTAAATATTTGTGAATGCAAAGAAAGAAATTTTGAAGACATTCATACTTGGTAATGTTACAACCTTTTTTGACTGAAATCAAGTTCTTATTACAAAACCTATCTCAAACCAGTAAGTCCAAATTCAAAAGGTACGTTCAGTTGACTTTGCTCGTTACCATAGTTAATTATCACTCCCCACCCTCTTTCCCAGTAGGATGCACCCCTGCTCACCCCCCCTACCCAGTGGAATGCACCCCTCCTGACCCTCCTACATAATGGGATGCACATCTCTCTACCCTTCCTATCTAGTGGAATGCACATCTCCCCACCTTCCAACCTGGTGGGATGCACCCCTCCCCACCCTCCTGCCCTTTGGTATCAATATCGCCCAGCAGAACCACTCAAAGATAATTCTGAAGCCTTGCTGAATGCAGTAATGATCTGTAATATTATTATATTGCCACTGTTGTGACAACATTGTTGCCTCTGTCATGGGGCAGGTGTGTTGATTATCAAGTAATCTATTAATCTTGTTATTAACCATAATTAACAGGCTAACAATCACAGCACGCAGTAGCCATAATCGTGGTAACTCAGGCACATTATCATTATTATGTTAAATGCAAGATACTCTTTTTCGTCCCAGTCGTATCTTTTGTAATTTTCATTCTTATATGTCTCTGACCTACCTGCAACATAGCAGCCAGTTTTTGCCTGGAATACTGTTCAGGTAAGAATAATACATTAGTTTTTAGCAACAGACTGTCTCCCCATCAGTGGCAAAGACCTGTGATAGCTCTTGTTGCTAGCAGTGTATTTTTTCATTTGTGGGAACAGCATGCCAGTATGTTCTGGCGGCAGCTACGTTGCAGTTAAATCAGCATCATAAGAGAGCTAGGCTTAATCATGCAGTCAGCTTCTGCAACCTCCATAGGTTTTTACATATCTGTGCTATTCAGGGATTCTCTGAAGCAGGGAAGTCCATATTTAAAAAATGTGTTATGTAACGTGACAAACATGAGATATCTGGATACGTCCAAACAGTAGGTCGAAGGGGAAAAGGCCAACTTTGTGGTGTTTGGTAACCTGCTCCAGGTGATTGTGAGAATGATGCAAGGAGATGTGAGCAGGGAAAACACCACACTCCATAGCCTGAATGCCTGGAACAGGTTAGGTATCTGGATATATCCTTTGCAGTGGCAGATCCAGGAGAAGGGGCCCAGAGGGCCTGCCCCCTGCCCCCCTTATTTTAAGACCAAACTGAGGCCCAAAGGACCAGTCCAGTTATCTAAAGGTCTGGATCTGCCACTGCTTTGTGTGTGTGACATAACTTTTCAAATGATCAGTTATTCATGAAGAAATTCCAAGCCAGTTTTTGCATTATGTGTTGCTAATTTAGCATTTCTGTGCTGTCCAATCATCACAATTTTACATACATACACATGCATGTAGCTTATTTTGGGAACGTTTTGTAGCAGAAGTTGATTTTATTATCTTTGTTGTGATTGTCACACAGAATTTGCTTACATATGTTAGCTAGAGAGAGAGAAAACTCTTTAATTGCTTTTAGTCAAAAGGTGAAATTCTAAATTGTTAAACAAGTTCTTTGCAATAGTCGCATTCTATAGTGAGAATGCTTGAGCTAAACAACAGCGCTTTAAGAGAATCATTCTCTTGAAGCCTTGTTCTTTAGCTCATGTATTCTCACTATGGAATGCAAAATTCTTTCGTGTCTAGTTGTGGGTCTTCAGGGCTACAAGTCATGGTTTTAAATACACAAAAGCCACAAAATATGTAGTGTTTATTTTTCAATGAAAATGGTTTCTACTAAAACGCTTCAAACTGGTTCGTTTCTCACATTTAGAAAACTGCCGGGCATTATTTTTTTATGATTTTTCTAAAATGAGTTGGTTTTGCCAATATAAATTTATATATTTCACATTGCTGTTTTTGTATTAATTCTATGTTTTTATTAGATGATAGTTTTTGAACATGAATTTGTATAGTGAGGAATTTGAATTTGAATAGTGAGGAAATTTAGGAGGTTTTTTGACTTCTCTTAGATCTTCAGTTTCAACTTTTTTTAATTTAGATCAAGAAGAGAAAAGAAAATCTTTGGCACTATTATTTTTTTATACTCATTTTCTAGCTTTGAATTTTCAGTTGTTTGAAAAACAGTGTAGCTGTGTTTGAGCACAGGAACCCCAAACTATTTTTTTACCAGTGGCATGAGAGTCCTTTGAAATATTTCTAAGAAACAGAGCCTCTTCACGATAATCATGGGTTTGCTCCCTGTAGCACAATCAGAGTTTTAGCTTACTTTTGATTCGGCATAATTAGGTTAAAAGTAGATGCAGTTTTTTTTCTTGAATCCAAATAAACCTGATCATTGTTCAGCTTTTTTTTCACCAGATCGTAACCTTTGAGTCAAGTGCACGATGTAGTCACTTGGATTCTTAGTAAAGTTCTATTATTATACTTTCGAGTATGAAAAGTGGAAGCTACTGAGTACTAATTTTTTCTGCCATCAGTTCGTATGTTATATAAATGGCAATTAATAAATTTAAAGTGTAGTTGAAACTTGAAGCTGAATGTCAGGATTGTTCAAGCCACCTTGCAGCACTCCCAGAAGTACTTCCACTTCGTTGTGTTTTCCAAAGTTAAGTAACATTTTCTTAAAATTTTCAGGAACATACACATGCACTTGTGGGAATTAAAAGGCCAAAACATGATCAGGGTTTCAAAAGAATTAGAACTATGTCGTAGTTGCATAAACATTAATTTAATATTGACCTTTCTTAGCTCGTAGCTTCACAAGCAAAGACAACCTAATGACAGTGCGCCGATATCGTGTGCAGGTCTAAAATGACGCAGTGGTGAATTATGCACCAGAAGTCGCCTTCATTCCTGTTCGCGCGCGTTGCGTTTTTTTTGCTTATTTTACTCACAAATTCAGTTATGGTCATGTAAAGTATTCCATCGTTAAAGTCTGTACGAAATCCTGTGGTTTGATAATTCAACTGAAACGTCTTCAGCAGCCATTTTTGTGGTACTAAGTTTTATTTTTTTATTTTGCAACATGAATTTTGAGATTTATTTTGTGGTATATTTAGCATCCTTTGAAATTAAAAGGGGTGGAAAACAAGAGGACAAACCTGTGATTATATTTCTCGTTCAAATAGTAAACCGGATGTTTCCGGTCACTTGAGCTTTCTCTCTGCTGTTTTGTTGCAGAAGTTCACTCACTGATACAACGTATACTCATTATGGCTCATCTCGGTGCAAAAACTTCTAGCTGTCGTGTAATGACTTGTCACTCGTGAAATTGTGAGGTTTTTACCCCGAGGATAAGCCAGTATGCTTTCTTTTAACCAACTTCTGAAGAACCTCTTAAGTCTTTGCAATAGTGCATGTGTCTTAATGATATATGTGTCTTTCGGTCATTTTAGATACAAGTTTCATGTTTTATTATTATTATTATTATTATTGTTATTATTATTATTATTATTATTATTATTATTATCATCATTATCATTATTATTATTATTATTATTATTATTATTATTATTATTATTATTTCGTGAAAACTTTTCGAAATGTCCTGGAAACTTGTGCTAGTGGCTAGGGCGTCACATGCTGCACTGCTGCTTTTCTTCGAGATTCCCCACTACACTCACAATATCAAAACGGTTGATTACTATAACTCACATCTAAGACAAGGTGGGGATAGGCTTTTTACGGGGGTATTGGCAATTTTGAGGTCAGGTCTGTGTCTGCCCACCTACCCCTCCCCAGAAACCTCAATTGATCCGGACTGTTTTAGGGTGGCCATCACTTCGTTGATTGGCTGGTAAGAAACTGCGCGGGAAACTGAGGCAAAGTA